GCCTCTTCCTGTCTCCATTCCGCCCAGACCCCTGAACAAAGCAGAAGTCTGGACTCCACCACAAAAACTGAAGTGTTGTGTATATATTTGGGCGTCTTCTTTGGAAGCAGCTATTTTGAAAACAAAAAAATAACTTTCCTGACCTCTGGAGAAACTGGTGAGCCCTTAGAATTGCCTACTTGAATGATTTGAGACTCAAACCTTGGCTGCTACTTCTTGAATAAAGAAGGGTAGATACGGTACATTTTTCTTTATTAATTCATAGTGTTAGGTAAGGTATTTGTTGGGTGTTTTTTATGTGCTAGGCATTGTAGTGAGTGCTTTACATCCAGAACTTTATTTAATCCTGACAACAATCTCATGAGGTATATACTGCTATTGTCTTCATTTTATGAATGAGGAAACTGAGGTTCAAAGAGGTGCAGTAACTTGTGCATGATCACACTCAGCTAATAAATGGGTCCAAACACTCTCACTCAAGAGCTCCAGTTTCTTTTATCTTTTTTGGTTCTTAACAGGTTTTTTTTCTTTAATTAATTAATTATTTTCTTACATCATTGTTCATTTTTTGTACAATATTTGATTTCCTCCCTCAGGTGTAATTCCCATAATTATTCTCCCACCACCACATCACCCTTGAACTGTCACCATAGTCCCTTGTGAAGAACCCAGTTTTTTGACTTTTGACATGCCGAGCCGAAAGGAAATCTCCCGATCCAACTGCTGTTATGAACCATTATCTCTTTATAACTACTGAACTCCTCTCTGACAACCTCACCAAGCAATGCGCACTTACTCCACAGAAGGGCAAATCCACAAGGCACAAAGCAAAGGTTATGTTATTGAGAAACAGATGGCCCAGCCTCTGTCACACTCACATTTTTTGTCCATTGATCTAACTTTGCTCCCTAGGAAGACAAAAGGAATTCTGAGTGTCCTCCATGGAAGTCTCTTCATATATTAAAAGCATCCCTTACATATATACCTTAAATCTTCTCCAGTCTATTCCTAGTTTCCCCATCATACTTTATGGAAGACCATCCTGGTCACCTTCTTCAAAGTGTGCTCATCAAGTTACCTCTTAACTGTGGACACAAAAAAGGAATCAGAATCTAGCTGACCAGCTTGGAGACAATGGACAATCCTCTTCCTTGTTCTCCATATTTTTATCTAACTACACATCTTAAAAATTTCCTCACCTCTTTGAAAGCCCCAACATAACCTATGACACAGTTAACAAAAGCCCCTGCATTTTGGTTTGTTTGGTGATGTTTTAGTTTTGGGTTCTTTTTGCTCTTGTTGTGCTGAGAGCTGGCTAACATGCCAAAAGTCAATTTGCTGACAGCCAATTGGCTAAAATTCTAACCACCAAGGCAATGCAATTTTATCATTACACTTCATAGATACTGAATGCCTACTATTGTCAAGTGCTGGAAATATAGCAGTGAACAAAATAGACAGAGTCCTGTCTGGATGGATCAAGTATTCTCATATATGTTATAATGGAATTCCATCTGTAACGTGGAGTTTCTACAGTCACTTCTGAGTTCTTTTGATTATTTTTGAATGCCATTTAAGTTTTTCAATATTTGGACATTTTTCCCATTCTTTGAACAAAGCCTAAATTGGCATATGAGCCTTAATTTTGTGTTTCTAGCAATAGATAAGAAGCAGTTAGCATTTCATATTGATGTGATTAGTTTGGCTCTGTCTACAGAATTTTCATATTAATAGCAAATATATAATAAACCTTGTGCTGAAATTGAGGAATTTTAATTAGTCATCTGAAATGATTAAATCTGTTCATAAATCTTTGTCCCTCAACTTTTGAAAAACTGAATATTCCAAAAAATTCTGCTATGAAGACAGAGTAAAAACCAGTCTACCAGAACTTCACAGAAATATTCACTATAAATTGTTGTAAACTTTATAACTAACTCCTAGTAATAGATTGTGGTTTATTGATAAATGTAATTGAATGAGTTCATCATTTAACAAACCGAGCATTTCACAAACTGACTTTTAGCATTTTGCTATTGGCTTACTGATTTTTTGCAAATTGATGTTCATTAGCCAATTTAAAGCTGTTGCTAAACCGGGATGCCCCATCCCAATGTTTGCACAGAAAAATCAAATTAATGTATTTGATTCAAACTTTTGCATTCTGACCAGTGACCTCTTTGTGAATCCTGCCTCTATCATGATCGGTCATCCTAGGGATATATCATCCAGAAATGCCTTCCTCATCCTCTAAGAGCCCTATGGAAGCCTAAGGGACCAGGGAGAATGTTCCATTGGAGATCTCCATTCACTTTGTTGATGTTAAATTCGCTAACAACCTTTGAGAATTGTCATTCAACAAATTATAAAAATTCCTAACTTTACTATCAGCAGCATAATCATACAAATATAATAATAGTTAACCTTTATTAAATACCCTCCATCTCCAGGTAGTATGTTACATGCATCACACACATATCTCATTTACTCCTTAATCAGATGAGGAAAGTAATACTCAAAGGGGTGAAGAAACTTGACCTTGGCCATACAGATAGCAAGCAACACAGAGAGATGTTTACTGAAATGCTAAATTTAGTTGTTTTCTAATGAACACTTATAGCTACAGCTTCCTGAAAGATCTGAACATCAAGTCAACACATTAACAAAAGCACTTAACGGGACCAGACCACCTTACATGTACTTTTTATTTGGGTGGTTGAATTATTAGATAATGAGTCCACTTACTGCTCCATCAGGATAAAAGATCCTGTCCTGATTCCTGTCTCAAATATGAATGTGTCCCTAAGGCATAAGTAGACAGAATTCAATCCTAATATGATTTTGTCTACTGGGGCTTTAAATCTTTTATCCACCACTTTTCCATTGTAATGTTGTGATAGCACCTTACATAAGGGACCATGGCAAGGATTTAATGAGATAATATATGAGGAGAGCATAACTCAATGTTGGGCAGGTGGTAGGCAGTGTAAGTTCTCTGCCCATCAAGGTATTCGGTCTGGGTGACTGCAGAGCTACATGAAATCTCTATCACCATAAATAGAGAAACATAATGAAAATTAAATCCATAATATATATTTATCTAAAAATTCTATCCTGTTATGATTAAACTGGCTTTAATATATGTCATTTAAAATTAACTCGTGTTGTCAAGTGAGCCTTAATAACTAATTTTGTAAGATCTGACTCAGGAATATATTCTGACATGACAGCCTCTTGTCTTGTTCTGCAGTCAAAAAGAAGCAGGAAGCTCCTCCAATGAGATTCCAGGAACCAAAGTTAGGCAGGCAGGACACTGACATTCACTGATGAATACGGTGATAAAAGGATAATAAGAATTTTTTTTCTCTCTTCACGACAGGTCCTCAAGGCAATTTGCCAACCATATTAAAAGGGGACAGCGGGAGAAGGCAGAGCACTAGATCATGATCTATCCCCGATGACTGAACTAAAAGAAATTTCAAGTCCTGACTGCACCAAAGATTCTCAAGGTGGTTTATACAGGAGTACACTCTGATTTGTGAAACAGATGTGCTAATGAAATGTTGCATGTTACCTGGTAATATTTGGAAATGCCCAAGAGGGAATCATTATGTAAAAAACAATCCCTGCAGAAGAATCTTTAGTAAAACTAATGCCAGTGATGGAATTTATTCTTTCTCCGTCCTTTGGATTTTCATCCCAAAAAGATTAAAATGCTGAAGAGTAGTATAAAGGTCAACATAATGTTATTTAAGATAAAGTCAAAGATTCCTACTGTGTTGCCACACAATACCTGCCAACAGGTAATTCTTAGGGAGAACTATCAGTGCTTAGAAGTGAAATTCAAATTTTGTAACACAAGACAAACCTGCCTGACTTCCTCAGCCATCTGCAAATAGCTTCTTCCCTGGTGTTCCCTTGAGTGTGCAAACTCTGAAGTCAGGGTAAGTTTTCCTATGGTTGACTCTGTGTAATAAATGCCAAAAAGGGCTCTAGAAATCAGATCTTCACTGAGAAATGATTGAATAAAGAATGACTCTGCTAAGAGTGAGAACTATGCTTAATTCGTTAAGGCATGACTATAAGGATATATGGAGAACTCTGGAATGGGGTTGGGAGTTTCTCCTCTTATGGTTCTGTTGATAACCCTTAATCAATGCAACCAAGAAAATAGCTTTGGCTACTGCTGCTAAGGTGCCCAACACACAGAAAATGCCTACCGCACACTTATGGAAACCATCAGTGAGGATCCTTTTCTCTATCCTCCCCTGATTTGCCTTCTGCTCTCACTGTGATGCCCACATTTCACTTCAGGGCTCCTGTTAATTGAATGAGTTAATATTGATGAACTTTTCAAAAGCATTTGTAAGTATAATAAAATATAAAAACATTATAAAGAAGTAATAAAATGATACTCCATACAATGTAGCATTAAGGGTTGAATTTTGGTACTTGATTGCTGTGGACGGTCTTGCTAGATTTCTGGTTAATCTGGGCGATGTCTGTGGGTTGTTACTGTTTTCCATCTATGTGGTCTGGACTCTCTGCCTTGTACCATTTTCATTTCCACTTGTGTTTCCACGACAATGAATGGTTTTCACTCCCCTTAAGGATAAGCCATTCCAGCTTAAAGAGCCTCCCCTGCACAGCAGCAGGCTCCACTGACCTCCCCTGCAGAGCAGTACCATGATGAGTCATCCTACACCCAGGGTCCTTCGACTTGCCACCACCTGAGTCAGACAGTGAGGGTATCTACAACACTGAAGAACTCAACCCACTTTCCTGAATTCACTCCCCTAAAATGTCACTGTCTGAAAAAGGAAGAAGCCAAGCAGAGCAAAGAATGGAGCAAAGCTGGAGCAAAGTCCAGGTTTCTTCTTCCCTTTTCCTTCTATTACACCATATCCAGTAATTAAGGTAATGAGGGTAGGCTGTCACCAGTACTGGTAAAGCACACTGATCATAGAATTACTTAGAATAAACACCAGGTGAAGCTAAAATAATTAACTAAGCCACGTAATTTTCCTTTATTCTTTTATTTTTAAAGAAAAAAAATTAAGTGAAGCTACTGAATTTAATGGTGTTTTCAGGTGTCAGGAAGTTACACAAAGGTTATGTTGTAAAGAAAATAAAATCTAAGGTACAGTTTGATGTCTTCTCACTAACATTCACTTGATATCAATCACAGTTTACTATAATCCTTGTCTTATCAGTAGTCTTCATTAGAATACTTTTTCCTAACTCAGAGCCCTTATCTCTGAGTCAGACCTCGGCTGAGGCTGGTATGTTATATTACTTTAGCTCCAGAACTTCAGGCCAACTTGGCTGTTACATTTCTTTCTGGCTTACTCTTCCCAGATTCCTCTACTTCTCTCTGTTCTGATCAAAATCATAGTAAATGATTTTATTTTATTTTACTTTTTGAATCTCTTTATCAACTAGGAGCATGCTGTAAACTTTTCCCCCCAAAATTGGACTTAAAATTGCTTTCACAAAGACTACACCAATTTTCACTTATGTCATAGCCCTTCCATGGAAGAGACTCATGTAGAAAATGCAATTTTATAAAAACAGATTAGAAGCCCTTTTGAGCAGTGCTTATTGCATACCCAAGAAACCACAGATGTAACGTGCCCATGGCAAATGGAAAAATATGCAGGAAAACCTACTCTCTTGAAGGCTTTAGCTTTCTGGATTTACCTACATTTTATCATCTTGCTGATAAATAATCTTGTGAACGTTATAAAGACCAATTAGGAGACAGGAAAATTGATTCGTTACAGAGTTGTGGGTTAGAGATTTTTGCCTTGCTGTTCTTTCATTGAAGAGGACACCATCAATGTACATTGACAGGAAAACCTAGTCTAGGAGTAAAGAATTGAAATCTCCCCACCACTTTCATCTCTCTTGTGCTGCAGCTGAGGAAAAAAAGTTGCTTGGGGTGGGGGTTGGGTGGAAGTTACAGAGGAGAAGAAGGAAATGGAAAGAGATAAAATGGATGGTGAAGAGACAGCGGAGCTTGAGAGGAGGGAAAAGAACAAAGCAAGTAAAGAGGAGAGACCAGAAACCAAAGGGAGATAGTGTGGCCTCACCAAAAACATAATAAATGCCTCCAGTTAAGCTTTGAAAATAACACCATGCAGGAAGCACTTTAAAAAGCCACAGAGTTCTCTTTAATACAGGGGCAAATGAGGAGAGAAAGGCACTAGGACCAAGGGAGGTGGAGACAGAAAAGAGGAGAGGGGCCAAACCTCACCTTCTAATCATTTCGCCTGAGGTGCTGAAAGTATTTCTTTATAAAGTGTGAAGTTGAGACTGAATCCAAATTCCTGGCATTGGAAAAAGTGCCAGGGGCCGCTTATGAGAACAAAATCTCTTTTACCTAAAATGAAGAAAATTCTATTTTTCAGTGAGTTCGCTATCTGGAAAAAGACCTAGACTCTTCTTCCATTCATTTATGGTACAACACTGTTACAACAGAAACAGACAAGGCCAGACCTGAGCTAGAGGTAACAGTGTCCGAGAGAAGACCCTCCTTCTCCTCTTATCCCAGTCAGCGGCCAGTCTGTGAATGCTGTTCCCGTGAGTCAGTTACACACACCATGGCAATCTTCTTCTCCCTCATAAAGGCATGCGGAATGCCTCAGGGAGATGATAGGACTTGAATATGATACAACGCATATTTCCTCAGACACAGAGGAGGTGTAGTGAATAAACGATCCTGCTGTACTAGACAAGTGCTTGAAGAAATCAAAATTAGATTCCTACCTCACTCCATATGCAAGAATAAATTCCACACGGATTTATTGTGCTAAAAGAAAAAAAATGTGATAAAAGGAAGAAGAACAATAGAAAATTGGGGGGCTAGAATTAGGAAGGCCTTTCTCAATACGAATTAAACCCTTAGAAGCCATAAAAAATGATAGGCCTATTTGACTATTTAAACGTTTTTAAAATCTTATATTAAAAATATCACAAAGAGTGGGGCCACCAAGTTGCCCAGGATTTGTTAGAAAATTGCACTTAGTGAATTCAGGCAAAAGTAATCAATCAAAATGACAAGGTTGGCTCTGATGTCCTGACACTGCAAGTATATAGGAAGACATTATTGAAAACTATAATGTGTTCCTGACTCACTGGTGCTGCCTGGGCTGGCCACCTCTCGACATGTCTCTCAGCCTTCGATTTTCATGGCTGGTTATTCTCACCGGCCTTGGCTTCTACTGGAGACCCACAAATACTGCTTGAGAACTCACCCCATATCTTTCACTCCATGTTTTAAGCAGCTAGAAGTGCTCAGATACATTGCATGTGCAGGTGTGTGTGAAGGACAGGAGGGGGAGAAGGAGCTATGACTCGTCATAAGTATTTACCTCCAAACAGTTGGATAATATTACACATTGAGAATACAGTTATCGTTTTCTAAACCTTTTATAAAATAGCTTCTATTTGAAGACTAAGGGTACAAGTGAAAATGAAAAACAACCACATGGAAATGATATCTGATTCGGCCTTCATTTTAGAAGAGAAAGAAACAATAGGAAGAGTCCCGCAACCTTCCAAAGGGATCCCTTCAAGGTTTTTAATGCTTTTTACTAAAATGGCATCAATTGCTAAAAGCTTTATGACCTTTGTTATGCTACATAATACTGATACAAAATGTGAATAGTACAAAGTTCATCATATATAATAGAAGGTTTTAATATATTACATTTGTTTCTACATAAACAGACTATAAATAGATGCGCCATAGTATGTTTTAGTCTTGGTTCCCAGCATCTCACACTATGGTACCAAATGAAAAATACATTTTCTTTTTAAAAAAGGAAAGAACAAGGGCAGAAACCAGTAGAAATAGCTTTACATGTTAAAAATCTAAATAATACAATAGATGTTGTTATAACTTTGGTTATAAAATAATTTTGAAATCTGGCTAATAATCATTCAGAGAGTACACAAACCAAATTAGTTTCTACTAGAGTGTAGAGGCCAAATTACTAAAACACTGACTGGTTGGGGGGTAGAAGGAGGAAGGGTGTGGAGAGGGGAGAAAGAACAAAGCAAAATCTCTCCTGACACTTTGACACCACAGCTTGATACGGAACCGACTGCACTGAGGCCCAGACATATCACATCAGGACAGACATGTGGGTATTCATCCAGAAGAAACCAGAAGCCGGTTTAGACAGTCAGAACACTTCAACACGACAGGGAGCCTCTGTCTGAATGTCCTTTCTTTGTGGTGGTCTGAATAAAGGATTGGCCTGGGAGACAAGAACCCAGAGCTGCATCATTTCCTTCCTGGGGCTTGGCCAGGAGACACGTAAGAGTCCGGAAGGAACTCTCATTAGGAGTCGGAAACAGCATAAGGAACTCTCGTTTAGCCCAACTGGGAAAAGCACGCAAACTTCTAAAACGAGTAACCTCATCTGATGCTTTTACATTTCCTAACAGACCTCATGTCCACCTCCACGGCAGCCAACACAGCTACTTGCAGGCTCCAGCGAGCTCTCAAAGCAAGTCAACATCTTCCTTTCTATCCATCCCAACTCCACATGCCAGACGGTGCAGGACCCATATTCTATACGAAGCTTCTTAGGTGGACTCACCCCCAGAGCCCCGGAGGTCTTTCCAATCTTCAACGCCTAAAGTACTTGCAAGGCCTGGTTTCTTGTCTAGTTTTGCAGAAGAATCCACTCCCCAGGTACTGCTACTTCTCTGAGGATGGAGCTATTTCTTGAGCTTCTTTGTTCAAACCCGTGGGGAGACTCAAAATTGGAGGCATCATACATGCTTTTTGAATGAATGAATGAAAGAGAGAATTAGATCAGCACTGGGAGGAGACAAACACATTCTTGGGTCACCAGCATCTTCTCAGGAAATGCCTAGGGGATTGGTTCCCTGAAGTTTGAGGTCTTGGGGTTTTTTTTGTTTGTTTGTTTGTTTGTTTTGTTTTGTTTTGTTTTTTAAATGAAAATCAAATGCGGCTACTTCCTGGTGGTAGAAAGAACAACACTTGAAAATCTGAGCAGCACCTCTCATGTGATTTCCAGGAGTGGGGTTCATGGGTGGCTTCTTTTAAAGAGGAGGCGAGCTTAATGGGGTCCCCGAGTCAAGCTGGGGAATCTGGGCTGCACTGTCAGCTTTCGGTCCCACCTCCACCAGCTTTAAAAGTTCGGCCTCCTCGCTGGAGTACACGGTGGTGTCCGTGTCGTCGGAGTGATACCCGGACTGGTAGCCACTCGTCTGGTTTGAGCCTTCAGATGCCACAGACTCCTTGCTTTTGCTGGGCATCAGTCCACTGTGGAAGAAATGGCAACCAAATGAACCGGCGGTTCTTCTGCTCCTTACCCTCAGCCCATTCCCACCCCGAGTGAGCTGCAATCTCCCTGGAGACACCAGTCCCTATTGCTCCCACTTTTTAATCAATATCTCAGGTTTACTCAGACCAGGTCTATTTTCAGGTACCAGCATGAATGAGTAGTTTCGGATAAGTCCTCTTATTCAGGTCCAAGCCTTTCGAAACTGAGCTGAGATGAGAGGCAACTCTCCTGAGTTATGCAAAGGCTCCAACCAATGGAACATTTTTATGACCTTGTGGATTGACATGATTGTATACAATGACAGGAGCCAAACGGTATTCTTTCATGATATTAAAGGAAATTGGGATATTCTGAAAGTCCACTTGTGCTTTCCCCACACTGTCAATTAGGGAATTATAAGGCATGTGTGTGGTGTTAATAAAGATCTTGAGCAACTTTAAATGTTAATAACTTGAAGCATGTGTGCAATCAAGCCAGACATGTCAAAAACTGCTTTTTACTCCTCCAAACCACATTCTTTGTTAGGACAGAGGACCTTGATCACTCAGCAGCAACTACAGGATGTTTGCAATGGCGTGGAATCATCTTTAATCATGTCAAAGCTGAGGAACATAGGCTGTGTTGATCTAAAACTTCTCAATTTACATTTTCTCAAGTCATAAGAGGTATGCCTGTGTTTTACACAAATCTTTCAAGTTAAAAACTATTCATATATGATTCAAATTTATTTCAAATAACTAGAAATGTAATTTTTCTTACAGTGCAACCTCAACAAAATAAACTTAGTGTCTCAAGCAATAGTATGGTATATGATAGGCACTACTGAATAAATATATTTTGAATCAATAAATGAAACTCACATTCATATGACTATCACAACTTCTTATCTTAGGTCTAAGGCAAACAACAAAAATGCATAATGACATGTTTTATTGTTTTGGGGGTTTTGGCTTTTTTTCAGCATAAGCATCACTCAATGACACTTGGATGTTCCATTTTATATCATGGATGGATAATAAGTAAATCAAAATCTTCATGATTCTTATCCAGAGTGAATCCTCTAGCAAATAAGTAACTACTCTGTACATTTTTATAAATACATATATTCATTTATTTGTAGGTTGGAATCAGGTACACCTATTCAAAACAACTGCAATTCCTATGGAACCACAGGGGGAAAAAGTCTATTCAAAATCAGATTTAGTACTTTTTCCACAATTAAGTACTTACTAACTCAGCCAATAATACTTAAGTAACTTGACAAACAGATATTGGCTTATTTGTACACCACACTTAGTAAGGGCAGATGCATCCATCACATAAAGAATCTGCAAAGATTTTAATCATCAGAGTAAGTCTTGGGATCACATCCAATGTCCTCTTTGTTATCTACATAATAACCGGTGGCCACAATAAATACACACAGAAATTCCCTGATAATTCCTAAATTCTCAGAGCCTGACCCAATCCTCGAATTTATTTCAGATTGACTTTAAGACTTGCCACTTAATTGTTTGATTTGCTTCAGTTCTTAGTTTGGTTGATCAAATTTGTCCAACCAATCAAGACATAATAAAAGGAACCTTAGAGCCTACATTGAAAGACCTAAGTTCCTTCTCAAAATTCTCCTGTTAAAATTGGTCTTTTCCATTCTCTTAGCCTTACCTAAAAGATGGCGCTAACTTGGTTCTGTCTTCCAAAGTTTTCAGCTCTTCTGATGCAAGAACCATACCACTGTCCGTCTGGTTGTCCTTTTTAAGAGACAATGAGATGGCACATTGTAAGCACACTGGCCAACTATTTAACGAAACTGATGTCTTAAACCCATCTACCAGATAATATGTTCCAATGTCCGGCAGAAGAAGGAAAAGGTATCATAGAGAGAAAACTGTGTGAGCTGTAAGAGGAAGCAACTGCTTCCTCGAAGTAAACCTAGGCCTGAAAGAAGAGTGCAATTTAGCAAGAAAAAAGAGACCCAGTTCCATGCCTGTTTTCACGATGATACCAGTTTTCTTGAATGAAATTGGGCATGAAGCTAGACATCCTGAACCTTGGAGAAGGGGCTTTACTTATGAAAAAACCAAGGGGCCCGGCTAAGTTTCCTCTCTGTAATGACCCCAAAACATATACCCTCGAGGACAGCCTTGTAATAAGCTTCCAAGACTCTAATACTTAGGCTAATATTTATCTAGCTAACGTTTCATCCTTTATATTATTTCTAAGACTATTTTTGAAAGATGTACTTACATCTGGGATAACTTTTACTTCTGGTTCTTCCAATGGGATATCTTCAAATGTTTTTACACTCACAGGCCGGCTCTTTCTCTTACTGGTCTGCAGATACTGACTATAAAAGAACAAATATTTGTATTTTAGTGGCGGTATATTTGGCTGCAGATACCACAAGTGATACCTAAGTTCATTATCTTTCAACCACAAGTTTAATAGAGACCTTCAAAACATCCTTTGGAAAAAGAAAAACAAAACAAAAAATCTTTCTCTGTTAGTACACTTTGAAGGCCTAATTTCCCATGAATGTCCACTTAAAAATATAATCTAACTGAGGGGTCCCCTATTCCTTTGAATTGTATTTCTGAGGTTCAGGACTGGGCTAAAGGCAACAATAATCCACTGCCTTCTATTTGGTTTCCTGATTACATGTGATTCCTCCATTGAGCTCTCAACATGTTACTGAGTGTTCCACATCTTTCTGGTCATTTGGTAGGAAAGGCTTTCTAGATAATGCCCAGAACAATCATTTAATAAAAAATGGGCAGAGAAATACCTGCAGATCTCACTGAATTTCCCCTGGGTTTTCAGTAGTGGGTATTGAACCGAATAGAATATAAAGACAACTTCTTCCTTCTACATAACACAGAGGCATGATGTGGGAAGGTAGGCCAACTATCACTGTCCCCCATATTCAGCCTACAGAGCTGCTGGTCTTAGGAAAGGGCGGTGGTTCAAGAGTCATGGCATATTTTGTCTATTTCAAAGTCCACCACTGACTGCATGAACATGGGAAAGTCGTGAGTATGTCTGTGCTTCTGTTGCCCCATTTTTAAAATAGATGGTCAATAGTTTTCCCTTCTTGACACACAAGGACATTTGGAGGGTAAATGAGGTAACATATGGTGGGTGGTGAGTGTTATTAGAAAGGATGATGCTCTATCAGCCAACCAAAGTTTGTTTTCCTTTGAACCCCAAAGGGTGTCGGTGTCCTGAGGAGCCTAAAGAGTAAGACTTGTTAGACAACACATTACTTGCTCCCTGTGGGTATTCCTTCCTGCCAATGACTTTGGGTGAATCTGAGTGATCTGCTAAAATCACTGACAGCCCAAGAGGAGAAAAGGGAAATTCCTTTCTGAAGAAAAGCCCACAGGCCCAACAAATACACACTTCACTGCCAATTCCAGCCTTCTGGGCATGTCACACATTCCTTGTATTTTCTGTGATCAAGTAGAGTGAGGACTCACTTGGGCCAAAGGACGAGAATGGAAACCAAGTCTCCCTTTCCTACCCACAACCCCACAACTTACAGAAAAGAAAGAATAAGGTTCACAGTGACACCCTCACTCAGGAAACACCACAGAAAGAGGATATGATAGACAAAGAGAGAGCACAGTCTGTTTTCTCCCAAGTCCAGTCCCTCAGAGTGGTAGGGGCCTGAAACTACTGGCACCAGCATCAACTGTTCATTTTTTCTTTCATTCAGGAATCCTCAGTGGAGAATCTACTATGTTCAGACAGTGTATTACATGCTCCTCAACCATGTCTCTCACATGTGTATAAACAGTCCCTCTCTAGGGATGGGTATTATTATGCCAACTATAAATGAGGAAGATGAGGCATAGAAAGGTTAAGAACTTATCCACAATCACGTAACTGGCATAGCTGGACTATTTGAGGGCAATGCAGCCACTGAAAGATTTTAAGCTGAGAGTGACAAGATAAGTCAAGCCCATTAGAAAGATGCCTCTGGGTTGAGAAGGGTGAAGCTAAAGGGAGTGAGACTAATTAAGGGGCCAGACCATTTATCAATAAGAAAGTAGGGCAGCTTGGCTGAAGAAAGATGATGCCCACAGGGTTTGGAGAAGTGGACAGGTGCCAGAGATATTTAGGGTGTCGAGTCAGCAAGAGTTGGTGTTGTGGACAATACTACAGTCGCCTTAGAAAAGACAGTTCCTTGACTTCTGAGTCTAATAATTCCAAAAATTGTGTGACCCTTCCCATTTGACAAACCATTTTCACAGTTACTGTTACATCTACTCCTGCAAAATGGGTTTCTTTTTAAATTATTATTTCCCACATGGAGATGAGTATGCTAAGACCTCAGGATAGATGGCCAGAACTGAGACTCAAACTTAAGTCTTCAGACTCTAACACCCAAGCAGAATTGTTTTGAAATCCTCTTCCATGTCAACTCCCTTAGAAAGGCACCAAGAAGGAAAAGGAAGAAGTGGGGCAAATGATCAAGTCTTTATTAAGCACCTAGTGTGTGCACATCACTATTCCTTCAAGTGTGTCAAATGTGTGCATGGACTGTGTGTTGGGGTGGGGGGAGTCTGAGATATACAAAAGGTGAAAAAAGGACAGTTCTGCTTCAAGCAGCCTAGTATCAAAGCCAAATTCAGGAGCATCTAAGCCAGCAGGCTGTCCCAGGCATCAATCTACAAGGCACATTTAATCATCACTAGCAATTAACCAGAATGAAGAAAATGGTATGTGCCAGAACCTTTCTCTGGGAAAGAACTGAAAGGAAATCTTTGATAATCTGCTTGCAGTGGGAGGTGAAACTCCCAGGGGAAATGCTAGAGCAACTGCAGATGGTCCCCAAACTACCCTCAAAGAAAGATGAGTCCAATTAATATGTATTTTCTTGCAGGAAGCATGCAAACTTGAGGCCAGAAATGATTCACAGGGGAGATTAGAAGCAAAGCTAAGTCTAGACGCTCATGGTCCTTCTTCCTCAACCCTTCACCCACACACATCTCAGTCTCTTCTCTGAATAAACAGAAGAAATATTTTTTAAATAGTTTAAAGGGACAACAAATCAGGAGGCTGGCTCCCACACTGATGTCTCTGTCCAGCTCTATTTATAATTCAATGGAACTGAAGATTAAAAAGAAGAAGCAAGTGAGAACACTCTTCAGTTTTCAACTTGACTTGCACCATGAAAGAGAGGGGGACAGGAGCTCTGAGAGGGGCTCCAGCCTCATCTCTTTCTCCCCAGGGAGCAGAACCACAAGAGAGCATTAAAATGATGGTCCTGGGAGCAAATGCCTCCATTCTGTTTTGCTTTTAACCCAGATCACTCAAAGGTGACTGTGGAGTCTTACTTTTATAAAAGGAGAAAAGCTGGAGGTAGAGGAGGAGGAATTGCAGACAAAAGATCCCAATTTCCATCTTATTTTTTAAATTATGGCTGGATGAAAGAGAAACTGGACTAGAAAGACCAATTCAAAAAGCACAGACAAAATAGGAGCCAGGCCTGTGCTGGGAGTGTGGTGTCACATTTGTTGGTGTGTCTGGGAGTAAATGTTAGCAGCCCTGTTTTAGATCCAGCACCACATTTAGCAATTCCATTACCACCAACAGGACTTCATCAGCTCTCTGAACCACATGCAAAGCGTTCACGGCAGCCAAGAGGCTGCGCCGGCTTAGGTCCTCATTCCACCTGGTCACAGGAAACCCAAGGAATACAGCTCATGAGCAATTGGTGATTTCCAGATAAAAGAGAAGGCCACAGCATTGTGGGAACAATAGCAACACCAGCTGAGCTTGAACTAGGAATTTCTAAACATGGGAATGGAACTATAGGCTTTCATGTAACTACTCTTTCTCTCTGAGGATATCCCTCCTCCCTTTGTTACAGGAGAGAACAGCCCTGAGTTAGCTAACAAAGGAACTAGCTTCTTCTTAGGGATGTGACTTTAAGCAGCACACCTGAGAGCTATCCTTCCCTGGATGCTTTCTAAGTACCAGACCCTTAGAGATACATTATATCATATAATTCAAATAATTCAAAATAATAATTTTTGAGATCACTAGTGACCTTGCCTCATTTCACAGAGAAGAAAAGTGAAGGGAAAGTTGGAAGACCTGCCCAGGTCACACAGCAGCAAAGAGGCAGACCAGGGAGTGCAAGTCAGTTCTATTCAACTCAAAACTCTAAACCAATGAGTCTTGTCTCAGCAGCTACATCAAACATAACAACCCCTATCTTGCTTAACTCTGAGAGTTACCATGTGGGCAAATCTGATAATATACAGAAAAGTTCTTTGCAAAATGCCACGCTCTAGACACAGGTGAATGGGTGTGCAGCTCCCTTCTGGCTTCTAAACACTCTGAGCTTTCTTCTCTCTCCATGCAGGGTCCCAGCTGGCCTGCGTGATGCATGGGGACAACTGTCCAGGCTGCCCCCTCACCTGCCCTCTGGCAACCTGGCCAAGTGCTAGAGGTCCATGCTCCTCCCTGCAGCCAAAGTACTCAAGAGGACAGGCTGGGCCCACACTGTCATGGGGTCTAGTTACAGGAGGAAAACACCCAAAGGGGTGGGGAAAGAAACAAAACAAAGTGAAATAATCCCAGGCTTAATGCAAGGCAATTTTACTATCATATTGTAGAAAGTAGTTTCAATTCCTTCCTGATGCGCAGGTGCTAGGAGAGAGAAAAAAGAAAGCTCCTTTAAAGCTTGGGAAAGGACTGCAGTGCATGTGTTTTTAAAGAAGCCCAGAAGTCCCATTATGTTAATAAAATGCTGAAAAGCAGACTTGGGAGGGACTTCGGAAGATTTGCTGTCCCGTCTAACTCAGGCCATATTCCCACGGCACACTGTATCCCAGCCAGGGAGGTGCAACTGCTCTTTCATAAATGTATTGAGCTCTCCCTTCTTGATTTTTTTTTTTCCTAAGCCATCTAATTCACGTTAATAAAAGAGTACATGGGGGCAATTTAAATGCAGATGTCTTTGTAAAAGTGTTCTCTTTTTCTGGAGATTAACAAACTGTGGCATTCCAGCTGTCTGCAGCTGCAGGGCTCAGGATTCTGAAAGGAAGAATGGTGGCAGAAATGTGGACCCCAGGCATGCATGAACGTATCTACCCAGACCTCTGCCCCAGCACTGCCCTTTATATTAGTCTTTGGGCTAAGGTTATGTGGAAATGAGATACAGGAGCTTTATAAAATGTCTTCCTTCCACCCCCTCCCCAAGATGACCTTGAAGCACCTCTCCCTAGAGGATGGGGCCATATACAGTACCTGATGCCTGCTGTGTTGTCATAATGGAATTTGGGGTCACACACTTCCTCTTCCTCCATACAGGAAACAGGTGAGGTAGGCAGAGAGAGTCCAGAATCCTCTTCCATGCTCAAAGTCTCTGATATGGGGAGAACAATGTAGTCTTTGCCATCCTGAAACAATAAACACAGAGTGCTATTGTTATGGCTTCAGTCCTCCGAGAGCCTTTTCATGAAACACAAAGACCAGGGGGCTCCTTGGTTAGGGGGTATGTTACTTTCATATCTGAACATGGTCCTTCAAGACAACATTAAACATGGTTTGTCAAAAACAAAGGGGCCTCGAAAGAAGTGTATATATGAAAGTATATTAAAGGCACTAACAAAGACCAAAATGGGGGAGGGGACCACAGAGTACGTGGCTACAGAGTACATGGCTGCAAATTCCATGGAAGCCTGTAGTCTTCCATGTAGCTGCAGAATTGACAAGCCATTTCTTTGCAAATCCCTGTCGACACATGCCAGGTCCTTTGAAGGGTATGGCATCCTATTTTAGCCTCTACATTTCAAGGTAATGAAAACACCGATGACAGTCTAGAGGAAAGCAATAAACGTGCAGGGAAAATGGGTCTTCTGAGAAAAGGTTGCACAATTTAACATTATTTCAGCAAGACAAAAAAATAAAGAGCAATTTGATAGCTTTAAATGTTTGGAAGGTTTATTGGTAAAAAACAGATTTGACCCATTGTCCTCCAGCTGTTCAAAAGAAAGGCAGGAGGAAATTGGCTTCCATTCATTGTGGTAAGAGGCATTGACTGGAGATTAAATAACTTCCTGGGGGTAATGGCTACAATTCTAACATTCTCCAATGGAAGTTATGGGGGCCTAAGGGTTTAGCCAGAAAATATGGTCTATGTCGCCTGGTTTGGAGGTGTTTTTGTCTGCAAAATGTATATAAATTCCTTGAAATTCTGCCCATGGTTAATATTCTGCGGATCAACTAGATTATATATATTTAAAAAGAGTATCTGAAGACTTACTAAAATATAGGTACCAATAAGAAGGATCTGTTCCAGGTTATACACAAAGATCTCATCTGTGTAAAGGGATGATGACAGCTCTTAGAAAAGCATTACTGCTCAGATCTGGAAGCACATGGCTCTTTATTAGTGGCTGAGAAGACAGCTTGTGGCTAGGAGAAGGTCTAGGCAATAGAGGCGCCAGAAATACCTATGTACCTCACAGAAACTTTGTGTGTGAAACAAACCTGCTGAGCATTAGCTTGTAACAGATTTCCCAAATGTTCCACCAACTCGGAAAATGTGGGCCTGTGATTGGGCTCTCCATGCCAGCAGTCAAGCATAGTCTGGTACCTAGAGAAGAAAAACACTGACATTAACTCTCCCCTTCCTCCTGATCTGATGCCGAAAATAAGCACCTGAATGAGTAAACATTTAGAGAGTCCACCCTGAATCAAGATGCAAAAGAGGGACACAAGGGACCTCCTGGTGGTTGGTGCAAGGGGTTAAGTTGCAGCACTATGAAGCTATCTGTAGCCACTGCAGCACAGTTTGATCCCCAGCCAGGGAACTACCCACATGGCACAGCAGAGCTCTCCTGACTCACCCGCTGCTCCCCTCAGCAGTGTATTTCAGTAGATCTGCCTGTTCTGCTCCCCACCCTGCCTTTGGTGAATCCTCTCACCCCCCTACCTCTGGCCTGTACCCCAGTTCTTTTATGCATAAATAAATCTTAAAAAAAAAAGAGGGACACAAGTGTATGCAGTGTAGTACCCCACACTTGGAGGATCAAGTGTGTAAAGGAAATATTACAAATCAACAGCTAATTAAAACTAACTGGTCAGCAGCAATTCCACTCCTAGGAATCTACCCAAACAACACAAAAACATTAATTCAAAAGGATACTTGCACCCCTATATTTATTTTAGCCTTATTTATAATAGATAAGATATGGAAACAACCCAAATGCCCAAAAATAGCTGAATGGAACAAGAAGATATGGTACATATACAAAAGGGAATACGATTCAGCAATCAAAAAAGATAAGCTCAGGCCATTCACAGTAACATGGATGGAGCTAGTGAAATAAGTCAGTGAAATAAGTCAGTGAAATGCTCAGTGAAATAAGTCAGAGGAAAAAAGAAAAATATTGGATGGTTTCACATATAGGAGGACTATAGGGGAACCCAATAAGGGATCGGGGGGGAAATAATTTAAAAAATTGGCAAGCAACTATAAATCAGACACATTCTGCAGAGAAGAGAGAGAGGACTCAGAACAGGGGAGGTAAGAGCACAGGGGACTACATTGATAGTACACAGGTGAACTGGTGGTAGGAATTCTAGATGGGAACTACGCCTGAAAGGAGAAAGCAAATGTACAAAAATGAACAATGATGTAAAATATATATAAATTAATTAATTATATTTAAAAAAAAGCCTAACTGGTCAGAATAGATAATAAAGTACTATTGTTTCAAGAAGAGATGACTCTGTGCTAATCTGTTATAGATGATTGAATCTGTGAGGTTATCAAGGAATACTTCAAGGAGGAAGGAAGACACAAACTGGGCATGAAGGATGTATCTATTGATATAATGGAAGATTTGCTAGTTGAGGAGAATTTTTGTGAGCAAAGACAGATGCTAGAAAGAAATGTTTAGTCTTACATTTCTGGTGTGGTGTAATCAGGAGCTCTCATTCTAGTTCCTTCTTTCAATCGCCTACAAAATTCCTCATCAATCTTTACCCCAGGATATGGAGATGCACCTGGAGTAAAACAGGGAAGATATTATTTTATTTTATTTTGTATAAAGTCATGAACCTGATTCTTGAACATCCTCATCATCTCTCTATATTATTTTTTTTAGACTTTACAACCTAAAGTTTTCAAGTAAGTTTCACTCAATAGAAGTGGAATACAAAAGAAGAAAAGGCATATTTGGGCCACTGATTTTATTCTATTTGGATTCTGGATGGGGAGTCAAGGAGAAGTGATTTACCTAAGGAAAATATTTCCCAGAGCAAAACACCAAAAGACCACACATCACTCTGAATTGTGTACACTCTGTCAAAAATTGTTTCTGGAGCCATCCATTTCAAAGGCAGGCGAGCCTAGAGGATAGAAGACAAGCGATCAGAACTCAGCTGAGCAGATATCTGAAGAAAAACACTTCCTTTGTTCCTGAACACAGGTCCCGAAGCTTGCTAAGAGGAGTCTGAGTTCTGCAACTCAGTGTATCACTGGGTTCATCTTTGAGACTTACATCTCCTTTTCTGACATAATCTGGGTCTTTGTAAATATCCCGGGCCAAGCCAAAGTCACATATTTTAACCACATTCTTCTCAGACAAGAGGATATTCCGTGCCGCCAGGTCCCGGTGGATACACTGCAAAAAGAATCATGTGTGTGTTAGGTCTTGACACAGATGATCTCTTCCACATCTGCTGTGACCTCATGCTTTAAAAAAATTCCACATCAGAAAACCAGCAGATTAACAAGCACTGGGTTAATATTTTTGAGACACGCATCTGCTTATTCCATAAAGGGTTGCAGATAAATGATTAGGTTATAGGATGATGACGGGGTCATAAATAGACTCTTCTTGGACACAATTAAGAATGTGTTTCTGGTCACATCCACACATCCCTTTCACCTGGCACCATATAAGAGGCCCCAGAATGGGATTTATTTGAATGAATACACGGAAATCAGAAACAGGGGGCTCTCATAGACTTGGTGGCCTTTGTCGGTTTCCCCAATCCATATGTAACTGAAGCAGGACTGGATTTGATAAACAATCCCAGGGGGGCTCATCCTGTTTTCAATGTATTGGATAATCATGAAGGTCTATTAAAGCAAGTTCAGTTTCTCACCAGATTGATTCTATGGTGCACTACAAAGAAAAATGAAATTCTCCTAATCTTTCCTACTATTCTTTTTGTACTCCTGAGTTTCCCTTTCAGTATGCCCTCTAATTTCATCTAACTTTGTACAACTAAGCACCTTTAGCTCCACTTGATCGATTTATGATCAAAAAAGAAATATTTAGAAATGAATGAAAGGCTTCCATGAGAACTGTCAAGTCAGTGTGTGTGTGTGGGTTGTGGGGTGGTATGAACCTGGCATTGCTAACCACCCACACTTCCCATCTGTAGAGCACTTTCCTCTAAGTGGGGCATATTTGGAAGCACACCATCCAGCGTGATTGAGCAAAACAGGAGACTACAAAGAAGAGACAGTCCCTCCTATTTACCCGTTAGCCAAAGCATTTCCTTTCGAGCCCAATAACCAGGTAATATTCAAGAAATCAACTGGCAGATGCAAGAGACATGGAAGGTTTCTCCCCCAGTCACCCTCTAGGCACCAAAAGGAACCCTGAGTAAATAATAGACTCTGATTTCAAATAATAATAATAAAATATAATCAAAATCTCCAAAAATGGCCTTTCTTTTGGGGGGAGCCCTTTAAGACCGACGTTTTCTCCCTTCCCCTTGGGAGAGAGAACACAAACGCTCCAGAAACATCTGAAACCCCAAGGCAATCTCTGGATGGCGTGGGAAGCTTTGAACTTTCAAAAAAGAGTGTGTTAAGAAGTTCACTCTAATATAGAAAAGACAGAAACTTTAAGTCTGTCTTCCCCCAGAAGGCTATGGACAAATGCATTTTATCAACTGATGATTTTTCCTGAAACTCAATTGGAATTTTTCTTGCTTAATGTAAAAGGACCCACTTTACCCTTTCCAGAGCAGTGACTGCAGTCAACCTCACTCCCCCTGCGGTGTTTACCACCTCAGGAATATTTGTAACTTGTCACGTTCCCACCTCCGCCTTTGTTTGGCCTACTTTTCTAATTTTAGCTCTTTTAATCGCTCTCATCTGAAGCCCATCCTTCCTGGTTTCTAATTATACTCCTAACAAATACTTTTGGATGGGTGGTGATGAATATAAAATAAATTAAAAATAGACTCTCTTACACCAAGATTTATGCAAGGCTCAATCCCTTACCTCTTCCAGGTCATCAAGCACATGTCACATTCTTATAAAGCCTCCTTTGCCCACTTTGTTTAAAACTGATGTTCACAAACACAGATGTGTATGCACACACAAACACAGTGCTCCTGGATATACTATGACAATTTCCTGCTTATTTTCCCCATAACCCTGACTCTGATCTCACTCTGCCTTTCACTGGTTTGAATGGGTCACTATTTGCTCCATTCACTAGAATGTAAACTCCATGAAAGTGGAGAGTTTTGTCTGTTCATTCATATAGTAGCCTTGATGTTTAGAAGACTGCTTGCACTTAGTAGGTGCTCAGGAGGTTATTTAGCAGATGACTTAATTATACGAAATTTTTACATACCCTTTATTAGCAGAAACGGGGCTTCCTACTAGGGAGCTATTAACAGCCCAAGTTGGGGTGGGAGGAGTGTATGAATTATAGTCCTAAATGAGCACCAGTGGCAGGCACTAGACTTGGGATTTCCAAATCTATGATCTGAAGAGATACTTTGCTTCCCCTGGAGATGTCTTACCTTCCGTGAGGCCAAAAACTCCATGCCCTTAGCCACTTGGAAGCTGTAACATATGAGGTGTTCCAAGGTCAGGAAGTTCTTATACAGGTCTTCAGAAACTGTCAGAGGAATTAGGAAGCCAGAGAGATCAGTAATTCCACCCACCAGTCCTTTGTTTCTAAGTTTGTTAGAGTCGTAATAATTTTGACTTGGGAATTAAATTTTGAGATATAAAAGCAGAGAGAAAATGCCTCTATCTTCTGTAAATTTACTGAATTGCAGTATTTTTAGTCTTCATCACACTCTTAGGCAAAAATAATAGCTTTTTATTTTCGCCAAATCAAACCATTAAATCCAGGAGGTAAAACTGGCACAAACAGTAAGTAGAAGAGAACATTTTTCAAATTTACTATTAAACTTGTGTGTGTGTGTGTGTGTGTGTGTGTGTACCCAGAGGGATAAACAATAGTTTCATATCAAGAGCTCTAAAAATAAAATAACAATATCCAGGGTCATTGACTCTTTTCTCTCCACACTCTGTCCTGGGACAAAGGCCAAAGGTCAAACTATAATCTACAAAGGATAACTAAAAATACCAGAAATGTATTTACTTCTCTCACTTTCAAGCTGAGAAAGAACTGCAAACACATTCAATCTGGCCTGGGAGCGTGCTTTTTCCTTCAAAGATATGAATGAGAGATGACAGGAACATGGAGAGAAAAATGAGTTTACACAAATTGGTGGTATTTATTTCTGTACAACTGGTACAAGTAAACACTAAGACATTAGTGGGTGTTTCAACAGGATCTCTAATTTTGGTCAGATAAAATATGACTTCTTTCCTGAATACAAACACTAGAGAAAACTCAGTTGTAATAATCATCTTGCATTTAGAAGGCTAAGAGCCTTCTCAATGACTTCTTATGCTTAGGGATAAGGGACCTCAGTGAACAATCACTGAAACACTTTTCATTTCCCAAATGAAGAAATGGAGACAAAATTGCTGGCCGAGCCTCTTTCCATACCAGCTTGCTACCTAAATCTCTTGAGTTTCCAGTTCACTGGCCACCATTTTGTGAAAGAAAGAGGAGGTACCCAGGGTGGGAACATTATGTGAGTTCTAGGCAACTTTCCCACATTCTTTGAGACTAAGTCACAGCCTCACACTGCCTACTCGGCTTCTAAAGAAGTTAGAAGTAAGTCCTATCTGTTGCCACATATCAAGGAAAACAGAAGTGAGTTTCCTCTACTACTTCATGTTATTGGCTTCTTCAAAGCTCATGTCCCAAGGGGTGCCAGATAACAGGAAGCCCCATCTCTACCTCCATGAAGCTGTCTCTGCTCTTTCTGAAGGAAGTAAATACAGGGTACCCTAGAGCTGGAAGTTAGACTGGGAACATGCTTCCTTTGTAAAGAGCCCTAAAATGTCATTGAAAGCATAACTGGATAAAGAAAAGTGTATTTAGCCAGACTCCTCTGAGAAAGCATGCTTGCAAGAAAGAATTGATAAGCCAATGGGAGTCGGGGGCCTGGAAATGGCAGATGGCTGCTGAACTGCCTTGGAGAAGGTTGGTATGATTAACAGAAAGATGTCTGCTTTGCTGGTGAAGCAAATTAATGTGGAGCTGAACTGCTTAAAGCAATGGGGAAACTATGCTCTCCTGGAGCATAACATTGAGTCTGTCTTGTTAATAAATGCTGAGCCAAAATTTTAAGAGCATGCTTTGTTTGTTGCTGACTGCTTGGCCCTCGCAGGGTACTCAGATTTCTCAGGCAAGCCATGCTTTGCCTCACAGACTAGTCCTCTGCTTACTTACAGTTTGCCTACTTCACTTTTGGGGAGACTAAACGGAGGCACTCTAGAAATTCAAGTCCCTCTCAGATATTAGGTAGTACTGGACTTTTCCCAAGACAATATTCCTCCTAACACCCTGCCATTTTGTCTGTTCCTACAATTCATGAGTTAGGTGTAAAGGAAATAATGACACAAACCTTCCTCTTCCTCCACATCACTGAGGGACTTCTCCTCAACAAATCCAGAGCTGGCTGAGCTCTGGCTACTGGTGATACTGTCCAAGCGGCGTTTAGGATCCATTGTGATTTCTCCAACATATTCTTTCCCTTGTCGGAATCGTGCCCCTTTGCTCTACAAAGAAGCAAAAGAACCATTCCTTAATATAAGAGGGATCTGGAAAATATAGTAAACTATGAAAAGAACTGTAACTATTAAAAAACAGACAAGAAGGGCTCAATTTCAGGATCACAGTCTTTGGGTCGTGTTCCACAGAATGGATTTTTTTCCATAAAGCCTAGCTCCTTCTTTAGCTTAAAGAGATCAATACCTTGTTTCAAGTTTCACTGAGGCACACTTCCAACATTAGGGTGCTCTTTATAGAGGGATTTACACTCCATAAGGCCAAATTTAGCCAGGGGAGACAGAGGTTAAGCCAGAGCTGTCCTTCCTTCCAGCTGTCCTTTTCCACAATCACACATCCCTTTCTCCCTTTCCTGGCACCATCTATAAATGGGTCAGTAGTTTAAAGTCACAAAACAAAACATAAGAAGCATATGCCCTTTCAAAAGGTGAAAGAAAAAGTTACGACAGTCAAGAATTCCAACTAAAAACTTAACCCGTACCGGGCCTCCCTGGTGGCGCAGTGGTTGAGCGCTGGGTTGCCAAGCTGCCTACAGCCTTCGCAGCACCGGTTCGATCCCCGGCCCCCAACTGGGTGAGGGTCCCACATGGCGCGCAGACCTCTCCTGCCGCCCACTGCTCCCCGCAGCAGTGTACTTCGGTCCTTCTGCCTGCTCTGCTTTCCTCTCTGACTCTGGTGAATTCTCTCACCCTCCCGCGCTTCTGACTGTACCCAGTGCTTGTATAAGTAAATAAATAAATCTTTAAAAAAAAAAAAAAACTTAACCTGTACCTACTTTGAGTTTTCCTCCATTTTACAATGTGAGCGGCATTTAGTTAGGAAATGACATACCTTGTAGGGGACAAATTCATTTCTCTTGCTCCTTAAGTATGTTGACAGGTTTCCAAATTTGCAGAATTCCACAATCACCATAAGCGGCCCTGAAGACAGAATAGCAAGTCAAGAAAAAAAATGTTTTCAGTCATGTATCTCACTTGACATTTAATATATTGATGAGCCAGAAAATATCACAGAAGCAACAACCTTTCATTGAGGACAAAGCCAACAAAATCTGCTGGTCTGAATCCCCTGATAGTGTAGCTTTTCTTTTCCACAAGGCAATTCCACAAGATTAATCAAAATTTCAGAAGAAATTAGCCCCCATGTATTTTTCTTTTTTTTTTTTAAGATTTTATTTATTCATGGATATAAGAACTGGGGTACAGGCCAGATGTGAGGGAGGGTGAGAGGATTCACCAGAGACAGAGCAGAACAGAACAGGCAGATTGACTGAAATACACTGCTGAGGGGAGCAGCGGGCGAGACAGGAGAGGTCTGCCATGCCATATGAGTATCTCCCAGCTGGCAAGGATCGAACCCACACTGCGGAAGTTGCGGACAGCTTCACAGTGCTGTGCTCAACCACCTGCACCACCAGAGGAGGCCCCATGTATTTTTTCAACACAGTCACCTAATAATGTTCAATGCCCATTTAACCTCCATGAAACATACTATATCTAAGAATCTGGCAAAGCATCCCAAGTCAAGGAAATTGAGGCCATGGGAGCTAAGTGGTTTCTTTCAAATTCCAGCAGAGAAGCATATTTCAAAATCAAGCAACCAGGACCATCGTAGTTACTCACCTCCAGGCTTGGTGCAGGCACCTAGAAGATTGACAACATTGAGATGGTGGCCAATATGAATGAGGATCTTGAGTTCAGACATGAGGGCTCGGTGTTCACTGTGTGTTGCTCCCTCTACAAATGCAGGGCAAAGAGGGAAGTCACGCATGTGGGCATTGCCTTAGAAGGGTAATAATTTATTGGACACATCTGTGCAACTTACTTCCAGATAATGTATAGAACTGTAAACCAATTTACAGACTAGGTCCATTTCCCTAAAAGTCAAGTATAAATTACATTTTCTAATACAAAATCTAATTCTTACTTTAAGTGCACCTAGAATTTGGTTTGATATTTGAGTCCATTGTGAAGCCTGTTGCAAAATGGGACATACATCTGCAAATGGAATGAGGCCCAGATTTTCTCTAACAAATTGGATTTTCACATATCAGGTTTACTATGTTTCTTAGGGCCTGATTATTTCAGTGCTTCCTTATAAGGAAGCAACACCATGTATTAAATATCCTCATGTGTTAGAGGCTGTGCTGAAGTTCTAGTGAATCTGTGCCTAGAAGGAATCTTAACAAGGGCCAGCTGGCAAGGCCATTTGGCACATGAGGTTGATGAGGCTAAGACTGTGAGTTTGATCCTATGTAGACTGGTACACTTTCCAGACATGGTCCACACCTCAGGCCCCAGAGCCACCTCAAAGTTACATACCCCATACCCATCAGGAGGATAGACAAAAGGAAAGAGATGGTTTCAAAGTGCAAAGACCTATTGGCAAACAGTCATTATCTCCATCCATGAAAGCACATTCCAATTGGAGCAAAGAGCTTTAGATGCATCACTTTGCCAAATTTAAAAGGCAATCCAAGAAGTGTAATATTATGTTTAGCAATTTGTTTATAAAAATTAATCTTTTAATTTTCACTCATAATATTTTTTCCTAGTAGACCCATTCTTATTTTGCAGATTCTTAAGTGAAAATCTTTTTCATATTCTAATTCTAGGGAACAAGTTGCTTTTGCACTCTACTATTTTTAGTTATATCAAATTTCTTTCCATATTTCTAGATGGTTTATAATTAGCTAACTAATGCACTGTAATACATTAAGAAACAATTTCAATATAACCAAGGTATTTTTCTTCCTTGTAACCAGACCACTAAGTATAGTGTGTGTAGGCTGTGCCCTCTATAAGAACTCCACACAAGGTGAAGAAGTTGGAGGCTGAAATCCATCCTCAACTTTGCTGTCCATGCCATACCCTGAAAAAGATGAACTTTGTTCCAATTTGCACTAAGGCACATTTAAGCTGACTGAATCATTGGCCGGTGGGTACCCTAACCACAGAGTCTTGGACACAAGCCTTACATCATATTTAAAGACAAGATGAATCAGAGATGCATCACCATATAATTTTGCTTTTACCTTTCAACATTTTGACAGCCACTGTCTTGCAAGTTGCTGTCTTGTCAATTCCAAAGGCATCTGCTTCAATTACTTGGCCAAAGGCACCACGGCCAAGAGGTTTACCTATAGTCAACAATGATAGTACGAACAAAACAAACACAGAACATTACACTACCAAAGTAACATGCAGAGATTCTCACTAAAAGACTGATCACACATCCTCCAGTTTACTCCCTTGTCCTTGTTTGATTATTTAATACTTCCCCCTTCACTCTCCAAATGCTCTGCTTTGGATGATCATACAGAGAATCAACCTACTTCTAACTGACTAAATGGATGACTACTCAAATTCAAGGGAATGGAACAATTATGTCTAAACCAGAAGCAGACATTTGAACAGACTTGATTTCTTGTCATTCTATAGAAGATGGCCTGTTAACCCAATATCAAACTAATATCACTTGAAAACATACCTAGTTTCAGTCGGTCCCTGGGGAACTCCCATTTGCTAGCATCATAAGGCAGGCGTTCGCAGCGTTCATCCAGGGGAAGTTCATCTGGATCCATGACAATGGACAAGTAGCCTGTCTTCAGTTCTCCTTCACTGGCCTGGAAAGCATTATTCCTTCCAGTCACACACTCCCTGCCATTTGGCTGTTGTTTGCTTATTATTGTTGTTTATGGAAGCCCCATTCCTGATGTCTCATTTTCTAATAAAACTCATGGAGTTTGAGAGTAGTCCTATTATACTCCTGCTTCAATGTCCACTCAACCCCCAAATGAGTTCAGAATCAAGTTCTTAAATCTTAATGACACAAGACAGTTCAAGCCCTTTTCTCCTCTAGGGACTCCTATTATTAAAGCCCGGCGGTCCAGCCAAAAGAAAATGGGCAGGAATGTTATTGTATTAAAATAAAATTGCACCATTGAATCAATCACAATGAGAGAAACAACTCAAAGAGCCCCAGTCAGCTTTCATTAATCATGAAAATCAGCATGCATGGGGCAAAAGGGAAATTATCTTTTTACCCGCTTAACGGTCCGAAGAACAATGACAAGAAGTAGCCAGAAGAACATGGCAATCACTGCAGTGCCCACTAGAATAATGACTTCCAAGTTCGTCTTTTCCTGAGCACCTAGAAATACAAAATTGAATCACCGTCAACAGCAATATTTGCTATAAAGTGACAAAGTTCAACACTAAAGCAAGATCTCAAGCTATCAACTTGGAAGCAATGGACACCATCTTCTAACATGGTTGGAGTCTCTAAAATTCTTTTTTTTTTTTTTAAAGATTTATTTATTTATTTATTTATTTATTTATACAAGCGCTGGGTACAGTCAGAAGCACAGGAGGGTGAGAGAATTCACCAGAGCCAGAGCGGGGAGCAGAGCAGGCAGAAGGACCGAAGTACACTGCTGAGGGGAGCAGCGGGCGGCAGGAGAGGTCTGCGCGCCATGTGGGACCCTCCTCCGGTGGCCGGGGAGCAGCCGGGGATCGAACCGGTGCTGCAGAGGCTGCGGGCAGCTTCGCAACCCAGCGCTCAACCGCTGCGCCACCGGGGAGGCCCATGGAGTCTCTAAAATTCTTAATGGATATTCAAAGTTTACAAAATATTGCTCATGAAAACTTCCAGCATTAAAATTCTAAAGTAATTAGGGTCAGAAATATTAATGCTTTAAATAACAAACAAAGAAAATGTATGGAAGAAGAGCAGTCTTTGATGCAAGGAAAATAGATCATGCTCTATAGAGAAGTATACCATGTGAAGAAAATAAATGTCTGGTTTTACAGATAGTCCATGTCTGTACAGAGTCTGAGAAAGGGTTTTAAGAAATCAGAGAAATAAATGTAGTTCTTTGCCCAGGGAGCTACTGGAAACCCAAGAGGTGCTTATCACTTTATATATAACATCCTGCTTAATCTTTTTAATAACCCTCAGTTTTCAGATGGTGAAACAAGTTCAGAGAGGTTAACTTACTTCATCAAGAACACACAGCAAATTGGTAGAATGGTTAAGAGCTATATAATGTCTGTCCAACACCAGTTAACCATTACACGACCCCTACCCCTATCTTGTATGACAGGAACCCAAATAAGGGAAAGAGAGAGAACCAAGATGAACACATCCTACATAGCCAGGGATTATGAATTTAAATCTACTCATGAAAGGAAAGAGAAAAGGGAAAGCTAGAAGGTCAGCAAGAAAAGCTGCAGAAGCTCAGGGCTCCAGTGGACAGCTCTGAGTGGGAGGAATTAAACACCAGAGGAGGCTTTTAACTAAGAGTGATTAGCAAAGAGGTGATAAGGAAGCAATTATCACTTCAGGTCTCCCAGTGGCTGAGTGCAGCAGTCACAAGCTGTGAGACAGGCCCTCTGGAAGGTCCAAAGACAAGTAATTAATTAGTAGCAAAATGAGAGTTAAGCACCAAGTGGATAGATAAGCACCAAGTATATCTGGAAGTAGATTTTGTTTCTCTGGTGGTCTTACTGAAGTTATCTCTATTTATACAATGAAATTTAAAAGCCCATTTACACAAAGAAAAAAATTCAAAAATTTGATTGCCTATGTAAGTTTGTATTTCATATTCCCATAATAGCCTTTGGGAACCTAGTAGGAGAATTAAATATCCACCTCTCTCTTTCTAGGTACTCTCTTCCGGTAGTAAACATAACTTCTGTACCAATGTTACCAAGTTAGGCATTGGTACCAGCTGCAGAAAGCTAGCAGAGGGGAAACATCAGTGGGAAGAGAACTGCAAGTCTCCCTAGGGTTTGCCCTAAAACACGAAGTGCTTTGGAAGTAATAAAACCACCGCATCACTTGAAATATGGCTTACTGCAGGCACTTGAAGTTTTTATTTGCAAGTGCAGTTATGAAATGGTAAAAGTCTATAGACTTGAAAACATGTCAAGGCACTGAGACGCAATACTTGGCACATGGATTTGACAGATTAAAGAGATTGCTATCTAGACTTTGAGAGACAAGTTAGGATGAGTTCACAGAAAGGCATCAATTCCTCCATCACCATCCCTCTTTCTCCCCCTTGAATACCATCCCATCACCCAGACTGCAGTTTCATTGTTCCCCAGATGAGTTATTTTTTTAAAAAAGGGAATAAACTTCTGGGGATAAAATATTCTGCCACAATTACTCCTCCCATATGAGAAAAATACCAAATTTTACCTGATCTCTGCAGATACATGCAAGTTTCCTTTCACATTTAGGTAAAAACTCAAAATTTCCATGTCAAAGAAGCAATAGTCTATTGTTCACAAATAAATCTTACTTTTATCAATGAAAATTCTCAACCTTTCTTACTATCTGGTTAGTACTGATTTTTTTTCATGACTCGGCAGTAATTCTAATGTTTTTTTCAATATATAGAGGTATTATTTCCATAAAAGTTAATTCAACCGCTCAAAGAATCAGGAAAAGATATTTTCTTCTCAACTAAGAATTTTTCCACAATGAGCCCTTCAGGATAGGAAATATGATGCAGACAGAGTTAAAATAACATTAATTATATTTTCTGGTTAAAATAATATATACTTAAGAGTAGAAGATGTACAAAGAATATAAAAAAAAATCACCTATAGCCCACGCAACGTCTATGAATTTATGTAAGATACAGGATAATTTTTTAAAGCTGCCTGATGTGTCAATGAATCCCCACTGACCTTCGACTATGAAAAACGCCTCCACTTTCGCACACCCAAGAATGCTGCAGGCCTGGCAGGTATAGAGGCCCTCATCCTCCTTCCTCACCCTGCGGATCGTCAGGTTTCGGTTCCCGTCTTTCAGTATGATGCCTAAGAGAAGAGAAAGATGATCATTATTTACGATGCAGTCTCATAGAGCGTTCCAGAAAAAAAAAAAAAGTTAAATATATAAATGCTGCCCTTTATCTTGGGCTGTTATCTAGCTTCAAAGAGTCCAAGAGGATCAACTGCTGACGCATCTGACCCCTGGCTCAACACAGCTCTGACTCCAGGTCTGTGAAATGAGCCAGATCAGAGACATTAGCTTTGCTTTTTTCCCCTACCAAAAGCAAACCAAGAAAGAATAAAGGTTTTAAATAACGTCTCCAGGAAAATTCTGCAGCCAAGGAAGGATAGACATGTTGTGCTCACCTGAGTCTTCCACAAGTGTCTCATTATCTTTAAACCAGGTAATCTGTGGAGGGGGATTCCCCGACGCAGTGCAGGAAACCTCGATGGTTTCACCAATGCTTGTCGTCTGATTCTCGAGGTTTCCTGTGATCACCGGTGCCATGCGCTCTGTGCACACAAAAGAAAACCATCGAGTATTCAGTTATAACTTTTGAAATTGTGTTAGTGTCAGTAAACACAACACTGTAGCTGTAGTAAACTGCTGGTTTATTAAGCCGAAAATACGCCAGTTTAATAACATACCATTGGTCACTGAGTAAAGTTTAAATGAAGCAAGTCAGTCAGGACAACTCAGATTACTGAAATTTGAAATCTTTGAACATACGTGCGAGTGACTTAAGCTGGAAATCATATCAGAAAATAAAAGTTGCCACCTTTATGCATTTTTCCTCTAGTTATACACAGCTTCTTTTCCATGAAAGTTCTAGCCAGTGACACCCTAGAACTCTGATATGTTTCTCTCAAAAAGTGCAAAATTTCAGTACAATTCAACAAAGAATGTTTTATATTTATTTGACAATTTTTATAAAACTCATTTATATGATCTCCGCCACTCAGCCCTTCCCAGGGTGGGTAGGACAGAAGCAGAAGCTCTATTTTACAGATGAAATATTGCAGTTCAGGGGGGCTAAACAATTTGTCCAATTCCCTGTAACTAAACAAGTTGTAGAATCTGCTTGAGACTAAAAGACCAGCTCAGCATTATTTTCACTAAAACATGAACCAAATAGCAATGCCCCAAGGAAAGTCAAAGATTTAAAGAAAATGCCATGGACAGTTGTCTAAATGTACAGTGAAACTTTTGATTTACCCTTTTCCTACATATCATCAAAGTGCTGTGGCATTATCTTGTCCAAACCAATTGAACCCCAAAAGGAATTATGCTGAAAGAATCCACTCAGTCCACAGTGGACTACACTGGTGTTTAAGCAAATGAACTGGGCTCTAGTCTATTTCTAAGAATAATTTTTGGAAAACAACTTAGGAATCCTTGGGGAAGCAAAGCCACACACTATGACACATTTCCTGAGGTGCTGGACCAGATCCTCCAGATCTCTCTCTGAATCCTTCCATTAGCTTGACACCAGCCCACCCAACAAGTGAACAGTAAAACACGGTTATATATGTGATATGATTTGAAGGGCCCTGGAGATGATGACTTCACCCAAAAAGTATCTTTCCTTTTCCCACCTGAGTCATAATACTATCAAACCCTCTCCTTGTGCCTATCCGAAGATGCCTCATTTCTCTAAAACTTTGGTATAGATGAGTTTTTCTAGGCAGTTTCCTTTCCTAGCAGTAAAAATCAGAAAACACATGCATTCTAAAAACTGGGAAGTGGCACTAAAACAAGAGAAAATAAACAAGGAGGAAGATAAATAAGGAGAACAGCCCCAAATTTGCCTGATTTCTCAGAGACAGAGCTGTGGCCTCACAGCTTTTGCACAACACACAAGTTGAGACACGTGTAGAGAATGGCTCCATGGAGAAGTTGCAAGTTTATCTGTTCTTTAAAGTTATCATCTCTTTGGCCTTAAGCTATGCTGGACCTCATGGGATGACCCAGAGGTATAAGCATTGACTATACAACCTGTCATATGCTCTCATGGCCCTATGTGGCCCCATCACTGTATCTTCAAGCCACAGATAACTTATTGAGCACCTCTTATGTTCCACCATGTCCTATGACTAGAGCTCAGCAAGAAATAAAACAGAAAACAATTTCTGCCCTCATGGACACAGCAATCTCACTGTGCTGCTATTGCCCCGTGGTTATCTGTTCTATGAGCTTCTAGCATCCTCTTAGCTTAGAGGATGCATGCTACAAATATGTGTATTCTAATATAAATGAATGTCCAAGAGTAAGGCAGTGAGTCCCCTGGTTCAGGCTGATAAATTGCAGACACTAGTGAATTGTCCCCTTATTGAGGATAGAAAGAGCCATGTTATTTTCTCTTTTTAATACCCCACTTCACCATCAGTAGCTTCTTTCTGCCTGAAGGGCTGTCAGTGAATAAGTTAAGTGGGTACCACCTACGTCATAAGCTCTTAGGGGACAGTAATCTTCATATAACGCCTGAAAGCACTACATTCAGGGCATCCCAACTGCATGTGGATGATCCAGAGTTGCCTCCCTACCTAGAACTGTGAGCCGCTTGACAACACAGTGCCTTTTCTTGGTCTTCCTGTCCTGAGCAAAGCAGACATAGTTTCCTTGGTCCTGCAAGGATACGTTCCGGAGCTCCATGATCAAAACATCATTTGTGCTGTTAGAGATCATAGTGACTTCCATTTTCCAAAGAGCATCCAAGTTCTTGCAAACAGGCGTGGGCAACTCTCCCTCGTGAATCGGCAGAGCCTGTGGGCCAAGCTTGTACCACATAAGGTTCTCAAATGTTGTCCTGTCTGCGCTGCACCAAAGAGACACACTCTCCTGTTCAGTTGGCTGGGTGCCAGGTTGCAAACTGATTTCGGGACCCCCTGAAATGTAAAACTCATGGTTAGATGATGCACACTAATTATCTTCTTGTTGCCTTCAGATTTCAATAAAGCACCCAGACCACCAATCTCAGACAACCAATCCAGACAATGCAGGTACCCAAATGTAACGTTTTCCAAACTATGTTATCTAGAAATGTAATGGATCCCTCAGCTATTTTTCTACTTTGACTTCTAAACCTACTGTTTAAGATTTTCTAAAATTAAAAAAAAAATAGTGAATTATAGCATAGGTTTTTTTTAATTAACTCCTCATTAACACACAATGATACCAACACTATTATTACAATGCATTTACCCAGACAAAAATGTTTTATTCAATCCAGTCAGTTAAGACTTTGCCATAAAACTGGACTGGAGACAAAATCAATAGCACAGGGAGGGCACCCTCTTGTCATTGCAAATGCCCCAGAGAACCAGCCCAGCATGCCCCCACTATTGGCCGAACCCCATCAAGCCACTGTGCGAGACTTTAATGACAGAGACATATATATGATACAGGAATTGTGGTTAAAAAGGATGAATGAAACCAATCTCTTTGCAGTGAACTCAGCTTCAGTGTACTAACTTCTCATGAAATAGGAGCTAACTAAGGCATTTGAATCTGTGAACAAAAGGGCCAATTATCAAACCGCCCCCCTACTCTTCCTCAATCCCAGGCCACTCACAGGGATGGCAAGCACTACAGAACATCAGACAGCTTAACACCCAGTTGACAAGAGATCCAGCCCGTCCTCCAGGTCACCCCCCCCCCCACCCAGAGCAGTACTTACTGGTCACATGGAAAGAGATAACCCTCTCTCCACTGCCTGCTTTGCTGACCGCTTCACATTTGTACAATGCAGACACATTTGCTGATTGGATAACAAGGGTACTTACAGTCTGCAAAGGCAAGAAACAAATACCATGAACAATAGAGGTTGAATTTATGCTCATGCATTCAGACTAAAATCCAGCAGTCCCCACAACCACTACCCCTTGCCTGCTGCATTCATCCCACTGCACTGTCCACACGCCAACATCTGCAAGTACATTTCTGCTAGCTTCATTCATACATTATACAGTGTGGGCTTTAGAAACCATGAAATAAATAATGTATTTTAACGTGACAGTATATGCATCTTCTTATGTTTGTAAAGTCAGAATTATCTAACAACAGATGTATAAATTTAATGGCATATGTGTTTCATTTTTCTCTGATAAGGTATCACTAGGTCAATTGTGTTTTTAAAAGTCAAAGGTGTTTTCAAACTGACTTATATTATTATCTGTTCTTCCAATTATTTTGATCATTAATTTTCAAAATTATTCATATAATATTGAACCATGTGTCCTTCCAGGCAAGAGAGAGAGAGAGAGATTTTCAAATTAAAGAATTTCAAACACACCTTGTTTTTTCCTTCAATTAAGGCAAATTGATTTTTGTTGACTTCAATTTTATTTCCCCCCTGAAAGTCCTCCACATTTCTCCATTCTTTGCAAGTATATGGGTTTGTCATTAAAACAGCTTGGCTATAAAAGAGAGATAACAGATCATATTATGATTAAATTTTTCTTTAATTCAAATCAGTAGTCAGGAATGAATATGACTTTGATCATCCTGTTCTTAGAAATAACATTCAACTCACCCCGCCATGTTACAAGACGTGGCGCCAATTAAAAATAGGCCTCAGTGATAAAGGAAAAGGTTCTAGGTAGATTCATTCAGGATACAGGAGGGAAGCAGTTATTCTGGGAACAAATCTCCATTCATAAATTGGATCGACAAGACAATTCAAGTTAATTTAGTTCAAAGGGAAGGCAAGGAAACTAAGAAGCCATTGGATTTCTGGAAGTAATCTCCCTGGGACTGTGTCCTTTGTATAGGAAATGGTCAGCATCTGAGGAAGAAACTAGTAGTGGCCATTTCAAAAACAACAACAGGAAGTGCACTGCTTAGACTGGAGGTGGGTGGGTTGTTGTTGTTGTTTTTCCTAAGGATGTCTGGATTTGTGTTAGAACCAGATAAGCTGGGCCTGAGATTCCAAAAGCTACAGCTTGGTCTATCTCCCCCTCACACCCATCAGCATTTCCTCTGAGATGTGACTCTTTACAGATAAGTAGTATTCACTAGCTGAGGAGTATAAGGAGAAAAGCCAAAGATTGGCAATTAGCAAACTGAGCCGAAGGCCTGCCTTTAGAGAGTTATATAAACTTGGGGGCTAACCTGGAGAGACAGCTGGCTAATCTCCAAGCAAGAGATCTCAAGGAAAGACAGCCCCTAAAACTTGAGCCTCAGACAGCAGGGAGGAGGTGATGAGTTCCACTTGAGAGTGAACTTTCGTAGGGAGAGCCTGTTGGCTTACAATACAGTCATCATAGCTTGATTATGAGAAAAACAAGATGGCAGGGGGAAAGCGGGTGTGACCCTACTTACGTGGGCTCATAGGTGCACTCTTCCTCCAGTTGCCAATACCAGTAGATGTGATGGGGGGGAGGAACAGCATAGACTGTGCACGTCAGCGTTTGGGTGGTGCCATACTGGTAAGAGTCCACGGGAGAGATGAGAGATTTCTCACCAATCTGGGGTGGGACTAGAGATAGAAAAAACAACTTTTGAATTGTCCATCAACTTTGAGGAATGAAAAGTAGAAGCTTTTAACAATTAAAACCTGTATTTTCTCAGCATGTGATTTTGCTCCCATATGCTTTTTTTTTTTTTTTTTTTTTTTTTTTTTTTTAAAGTGACAGTCTTTTTTTTATTTATTTATTCGTTTGTTTTGTTTATACAAGCACTGGGTACAGTCAGAAGCGCGGGAGGGTGAGAGAATCCACCAGAGCCAGAGTGGGGAGCAGAACAGGCAGAGGGATCGAAGTACACTGCTGAGGGGAGCAGTGGGCGGCAGGAGAGGTCTGCGCGCCATGTGGGACCCTCCTCCGGTGGCCGGGGAGCAGCCGGGGATCGAACTGGCGCCGCAGAGGCCGCGGGCAGCTTCGCAACCCAGTGCTCAACCGCTGCGCCACCGGGGAGGCCCCCATATGCTTTTTTCAAAGAATGTTTGGTTTTGGAGATATGAGACCTGCATTCTAATGATACTCATAGCAGTGATGATGAGCTAATAATAATAAATAATAAGTCTGGGGACACTGTGCTAGTCTCATCATCCCATGCCTCAGTTTTCTCATCATCCCATGCCTCAGTTTTCTTATCTACATTATAGGAAAAACTCTCCCTGTTCTCCCAAGCTCACAAGATAAAGGCAAGAAAGAAAGCAAATCCTTATACATAACATCATAATTTCATTTACCAAGTGCTGAGCATTGTTCTAAGTGCTTAACACTCACTGATCCCTTTAATCCTCACAACCAGTATTATTGTTCTCCATGTTCCACAGGGAGAAATGAAACAATAGAAGTTAAATCATGGTCCAAGGTCAACTGCCACTTCTTCATCTCCCTCTCTTTTTTCCCCCTTCCTTCCTTGATGCCTCCCTCCCTCTTTTCTGTCTTTCTTTTTTCTTTTTTCTTTTTTTTTTTTTGGCTTCAAAGTCATTAATGTGAAACTATTTTCTCATGGCTATCAACCTAAAGTCTCAGATTATACTTTGAAACCTTGACTTCATTTTTAGGCTGACTTTACACAACAGCGTAAATGCTTGGGTGAAGCAAATGTTTCATGACTTCAAGGATTGGCGAGATGGGCCAGCCGCCATAGTTTCTGGTTTTACTTCTTCATTTTCAGCTCCTCATCCTAATTGGCAGCTTTCCAGCTTCTCTCCCTCCTATTCTCTCCCTCCCTATTCCTAAGCAACTTCTCAGTGACCTATTATCTCTGAAGCTGACTTCCCAGCAAAGAAATGAAGCAAAGCTCAGCAGTCATACATGGTGGTGGTAGGACACATGGAAAGCACCTTAATGTCACAAGAGACAACCCTGAAGTTTTATAACTAGCCACACCAAAAAGGACAACAAAGAATGACAACAGAGAAGCATTTTCCAAACTATATTTGAGAAAAGATATTAATGGATTTATTGGGATGAGTATGAACGGGAATGCTCTGATCAAGTTTGTGAGACACTAAACACTCTCTCTTCCTGAAGAATGGCAACATATAGCAGCACACTAGCATATTAAAGGTTCCTAGAAGTCCCTCCAATCGAGACACTTGCTTCATATCAAAATAGCACTTCCCCTACTTACTGGATCATGGCGCTCTTATTTACCTTTTTCAATTTGGGAAAACAAAGTTCAAATCATGCTTGAATAAGAGATTTAATATATTCTCATGACCACCAAGAGTCCTAAACTCCAGTTTAAAATAATAAAACTTAAATAATCTTCAATCGAGTCAACCGTGTCAACTAGTGAAAACCTTCTGAACTGAAATCTGCCTAGGCGTCATTGATTCATCAACTACCAAATCACACAAGAAACTTCCCACAAAATTCAAATAAGAGATACAAAAATTACCATTTATAGTATGGTCATTATACATTTGCATGTTAAGTGCACAGTGGCCTGAGACAGGAGCAAAGACAGTGCCACTTAAGCTTGACAGCTGTCCTCACAAGCATTCTTATTTCACCACATTTAGCCCTCAAGTGTACCATCTACTTTAAACTTGCATTTGACCATCAAAAAGTCCACATACAAGGCCTTTGTTGCAAACACATTCAGAGCACACGATTCTCCACCTCATTTCAACTCCACTGATCTGGATCTTTTATACATAGAACCCCATTCAATGAATGATAGATAGGCTGGTTGTTTAGGAAGACAAATAAATCTTGGACAGAAAAGGAAAACTGCGTGAACTCACCAGTCACAATCAAAGATACCTCGTGGCTCTGTTTCTCCTTTGAAATGGGGTTGGTAAGGACGACCGTGTAATTGCCTGTGTCTTTCTCACTCACTTCCATGATAGTCAGAACGTGCCCCACTCTAATGGTGTGATTGGACTCAATGGGTCTTCCATTTTTATACCTATGGGGGGGAAAAATCCCCATAATTAGTACAACCTAATTAGTATTCTAATTAGTAAGGATTCACTTTCATGTGTAACAATGCTCTACATTTATTTCAAAAGTTACCATTTTATCTCAGGAGGAGGGTAACCAAGATATTTCACAGGGATTCTGACGCGGTCTCCTACTGTGGCCTCCACCAAAGATTCCATACCACTATCAAAAGCAACGAAAGGTTTTTCTGAAAGAAAACAAAAATAAGCATTCTTATAAATGTCAACTTACTGTAAATGGTCATTTGGTTTAATTTTTCATGTCAAGTGAAGAGCCAAAGACTTTGGGTTCTGCATTGCTGTAATTCAGAGATTCTCCACATTCCCTTTTATAGGTCACATTTCACCTTCTGTGACAGTTCTAGGCTTTGTATTTGCTTTTCCCTCTCCCTGTGCAATCTGCAAGTCTAGCGTCTGCTCAACTCTCAATTCAAGCATTTGTTCCTCTGTGAAGCTTTCTCTAAGTTACTCAGAGGCCTCTGGGTTCTCCTTCTCCTCTGTTCCTATGACACCCTATACATGCCCCATGAGTCTCAGGATTCAATCCTCAAATCTCTTTTCACCCTCCTCCAGCCTCAGGTTTAAAGTATCATCTTATGTCTCTTCTAAATTTGTATTTCCTACCCTGACTTCTCTGAGTCCTACATTTATATATGAAATATTACCACTTGGATGATTAAGGGTGTCTCAAAATTAACATACCCAGTATGTTTTCCCAAATCTTAGTCCCTTCTCAATTTTCCTTATTTCAGTAAATAATACCACCTAAATCATTTGCTTGCTCATACTAAAAACTCAAAAGTCATCTTCCATTCTTCATCAACTGCATCCCATAGCCACTGAACCACTCAGCAGATTCCATTGGCTTTATCTTCAAATACGTATCTAGCATCTTATCACTGATACTGCCTCTTATCCAAGCAACCAACCATCTTTCTCCTAGATTTCTGTAATTAATCTCCTAACTGACCTCCCTACTTCTGCCCTTACTTCCCTAAAGTATTCCACATAACAAGCAGAGTAACCCTGTTGTTTTTTTTTAAAAAGCCAGAGTATGTTTCTCTCTCCTCAAAACCCTTGTATGAATTCTCATTATACAATCCAAAATCCTACCAAGGCATGTAAGTAGAACACAAATGTCTATTCTAAACTGAAACATATATTCAAGTGAAAGAGAATAAATGAAAAATTAAATGATTTGCTCCAAGCCCCTCAGAAAGTGATCAAATCCAGTTTTCCCCCATTGCAAAGTCCATACTTATTCAAATAAGACTCTCAGTGTTGCAACAAAATAAAAATTTTAAAACTATCTTAGATGACAATGCTCTGTTTTTGATAGCAATAGTAATAGCACCAACAAACACATTTATATTTAGTGGCTTATTATATTAGCTGACCTTATTGTTAAAATTGAGATGTGAACCCATGTCTCTAAATCCAAAGCTATGCTTTTGACTTCTAGCTAATGTGGGCTGCTTAGCAAGAGCTCAAAGATGTCTTCTAGATGAACAAAGTAGGAATCACTAATTGACTTATTTTTATAAATGATCTCATTTTTCAAGGCACAAGGGAAGTCCAGAGGTCATCTTAGCTTACCGTGGATCCTGACAAAGGTGGTGTTCCTCTTCGTCATCAGCCCACTGTAGGCTCCACAGGTGTACCAGCCTTGGTCACTGCGGGTGACACCATCTATAGTGAGGGAGCTCACAAATGTCTTCATCTCATTTCCAGACTGGACTTTTACGTCCCGGCTTATAGGTTTCTTATGCTGATGCTGAAAAAGAGTTTGTAGAACTTTCAAAGTCCTGCATAACACAAGAGGAGTTTCCAGAAACCCACCAAATCAAGTCTTGGCCATTGGGGAACTATTTAATACTATTGATAGGAATATCAGAATTTTTAACCTACGTAGAGAGCAAATATATTTGGTTTCAGGAGAAATAAGTGAAAGCAACTGAATTAGGATTTTTAAAATCTCTGAGAGTAAGGAGATGGCTATGAACTGAAAAATAGAAGTAAATGTGACCAGTGCTTTAGAAGTGTGTCTCATGCCACTTTCTGAAGAGATGTTCTCTTAAAAGGAATGTAGATCAAGGGTTTTAGAGAACAGAGAAATAATACAACTGGGAGAGATATAATCACCTAGAGAAAACTAATCTGCCAACCTGATTATAGCAGTGTGGGATGGAGTTCTTGGCATTGTATCCTTTTCTCTATGCATGTTGTAGAATCTGAATTTCTTTCAAATGTGTGTGTGTGTGTGTGTGTGTTAAGACCCTTACAGATCATCTGGATCATCTGGCCAGAAAGGCCACTATCTTCTCAAGCAAACTCCACTGGTTTTATTATCAAAGTATTTAGAGGTCTGGCTTTGAATTGTTAGTGTTACCTTCAAAGAAGGAGAGTCCCAGTGGAAGTCAATCCCCACATTTAGCTCAGTTCTTGCTGTACAATTTAAGACGAGTTTCTCTCCAACAGATAATTCAACTCCGTGAGGGGGACTCAGAATTACATCATAAATCCTATATCCTGAAGCAAGTACATTGAAAAACAGAATGTGAGAGGAAAAACAAATCCATAGGTTGGCACAACTTTTTCTGAATATGATGCAACTTTAAAATGTGACACATCACTTTTCCCTATGGGCCTAATCAATATTTAGTAACCGCCCCCCCAAAAAATGGCCTGTAGAGAGGCTTCCCTGGTGGTGCAGGGGTTAAAGTCTCAGCCCTATCAAGCTATTGCCAGCCACTGAGGCATGAGTTTGATCCCTGTCCAAGGAGCTGACCCACATGGCATAGCAGACCTCTCCTGTCTCACCTGGTGCTCCCCTCAGCAGTGTATTTCAGTAGATCTTCGTGGTCTGCTCCCTACTCTCTCTCTGGTGAATCCTCTCACCCCCTGAACCTCTGGCCTACAGCCCAGTTCTTGTACACATAAATAAAAATGAATCTTTAAAAAAAAAAAATGGCCTGTAGATATTTACAAACAGACCTGAAAGGATCTCAAAAACGTAGCCATGCAGTCAACAGTCATGGGGCCAGCTTTAGTAAATTGCTGGACTTGCATGAAATAGGTATAATTAAAAGAACTGGTGCCAAGCAATGCTTTGAACATTGAATTTTCCATAAAATATACTTCTGTAATAGCATTCTTTTTCATCCTATATTGGCAGGAAAGGAGAAAACCCTGTCTGCATGGAGGTTTATGGCACAGAACAGATGTAATGGATTGTCCAACACCATATCTTAAGTTAATATATTTTTCAAATCCCCTGTCCTTTATTCTGTAATTGAATTTCCAGGATCTTCTCTAGGAATCCAATATTTATTGTCTGATATTAGTGACATGGAAAGAAACTGTCCTCTTACCTACAACCACAACTATGTACATAATAGACTGGTAACTTTCATCATTAATTTTTGCTTCACAGAAGACCATGCCAGCATAGCTGATCATGTAGCTGGGAATAGTAAAGCCTTTCTTGCTGTCCCAGGAAATTCTGTTACCATCAGGAACAAACCTCTTTTCTGGGTACCTCTGGGTAGTAAAAAGAAATATAAAATATTTAATCAAATGCTATCCAAACATGAAACCCATGTCAGATGATCATTAAAGAATTCATCTTTACTTTTAAGAATACAAATTAGTTTTATTTATTGTCATTTTGACCCTTCCTAAAGGACCTTTAAAATTCACTGCTGATATTATGCTACAAACAGGCTGCTTATCTTAATATTAGATAAAATTATGAAAACGGAAGAGATGATTGAAGAAGTTGTAACTTACTGCGCAAAGTGACACATTGAGGTTTGAAATGGACCCAAGACATGGAATCACAACAGTTTTGTTTTTGTTCTCAGTGAGGTATACAACTCCATGTTGGTCACTAACAGAAGCAATAAATGGAGATCTATAATCTAGAAGAAAATTTAATTCTATTAGTTAATGACATTTACTAGGAAAGCTGGTCATCTCTCAGATGCATAAACTCTAACCAGAGAAGTGAATGATTGGGAATGACATCTGAGCAAATGAATCCACAGGTCAGTCTGCTGGTTCCAAGGACATGCTACAGGAAGGATGTGTGTGTGTGTGTGTGTGTGTGTGTGAGAGAGAGAGAGAGAGAGAGAGAGAGAGAGAGAGAGAGAGAGAGAAATTGAAAGGAAACTCCTCAAATGTGACTGACTTCTACACAAGGATCATAAGACAGTAGTATATATTTTTTATATTTTTTAATTTTTTATTTTTTATATATTGAAGAATTAATATATTGATTATTAATAAATATTAATGTTATTAATAAATATTAATCTCTCTAAATATATTGAATCATTTAGACAGATTGATCATTACATTTTTTTCAATGTGAAGGTGCATATACATCAATTTTAATGTAAATTTAAAGTTAAATCTTATTATGGATGTTTTATTGATGTTTTTAAAAATTTCACGTTCCCTCTCTCTTTAGGTCAATAATGTAAATGCCATGAAAATGAATTAATGGATCCCAAAGAATCTTTAAAATAAGCAAGAAATAACTAACAATTTTTAATTCAATTATGCAAGAAAAGTCTTATGTGGACATGCGAAGATTGTGAAGATTATATATGATATTCTTTATAAAATAATGTTGTCATTATTACATTATATTAAGATTCAGCAGTCATTAATATCTTCAATGACAAAATATTTGAAAAGTCACCATCCCAAAGAATGAGAAGAAAACAAGAAAAGATTTAATGTCATCAAGCACTGTTCATGCAGTGTTAATATACTTCTGGGGAACTACTCCATGGCCCAGAAATAGAGATGATGTGGTGTGAAGACAAGCTTGAAATCTCAGAGACATAATCACAGCTCATACTGCTGTGTCTAGCACACCTGATTAGGCATTTTCAGAGCTCTTCAAGATGATTGGTCATTGTGAAGAGTTAATTAAGCCAAAGGGGAGAAAAGCAGCTGATTTCCTTGCGACAGTAGAAGTTTGATTTTTTTTTCCAGTTAGAAAGCACAGAAAGGCAGTCAATCCAGTCTACCACATGCCAGAGCCATTAGCCAGAGCCCTTATTTTATGTAGCCAGGACCCACATCCTGGTTCCATTTGTTGCTGGAGGGAATGGGTCAGAGAACTAAGGAAGTAAGATAGTGACCACAAGGGACATTTTAAGGGCCATCAACAGGGAATATTTCAATGTTTTCTTACCCACCTTGAACTTTAAGACCAAAACCTTGAAGAGTTCAACTCTAGAACATTATTAGGCTTAGAAAGAAGCAGATTTTGATGGTATACCCAAAGACAGGTATTGTACAAATAAACAAACAGTGCTAGAGATTGCTACTTCTTAATAATTACCTACCTTTCACCCACATGCTATGAGATAGTATATAGCTTGCTTACAGAACAAACCTTGGGAAGCTAAATTAACTCCTTGATGCAAGACTAAAGGTAGTCAGTAAATCAATTCTATTTCAGTAACTCAAAAAAAAAAAGAGAAAAAGGAAATAAACAAAAGATACCAAAACAATCTCCCATCCTCTCAAAATAAAATATTTACTGTAACTCCTGAAATGAATTTTCACATGTCTCCAAGTTTCCTGACTTTGGGAGAAGGAAATAATGAGATATTAAGGGAGAGGTTCATCTTGTAATATTTCCAGACAGTCTTAAGGCAGGAAATCCTTGCAGTCTTCTGAGAGAGCCTGATCTCCCAAGACTGCCAGATCAAAAGAAGTCAGAAGTTCTCAAAGATCTGAGTCTTGTCTCTTTGAAATTCTGCAAGGGGAGGAGGAGGGCACACAATACTACCTAGGATTGTGCTTATCCTAGGTAAAAAATAATTCTTAAATACTGTGCAATCCAGAAGTAACATACTCTATTTTGATGGGTTCCCCACGGTTGAAATATAATATGCACTAGTGATATATAAATAGATGGGCCTCCCGGTGGCCCAGCAGTTAAGCGCTGGGCTGTGAAGCTGCCCGCAGCCTCTGCAGAGCCGGTTCAATCCCCGGCCACCAGCAAGGGTCCCACATGGCGCGCAGACCTCTCCTGCCGCAACCCGCTGCTCCCCTCAGCAGTGTATTTGGTCCGTCTGCCTGTTCTATTCCCCGCTCTGGCTCTGGTGAATCTCTCACCCTCCCGCACTTCTGACTGTACCCAGTGCTTGTATAAATAAATAAATAAATCTTAAAAAAAAAAAAAAAGAAATGTAAATGGATGGAGATACCTAAGTGTGTATTCCAAAGCTGATGAAATCCCTATCCTATAAAAGATGTTTCTGGTAAAGAAGTCTTAGCAATCTTCACCTGTCTCAAATCCTCTGTGACATAAAGAGGTAAAGAAATGTGTTAGAATGTCTCAAGAATTTGTCTTCACTAAAAGGGAAAATATTCAGTATATCTAAACAAAACACTCACAACACAAATTATAGGTATCTCAGTAGTGAAATCAGGTTGTTCACGGGAAAATTAAGGTAGTAGAAGATTGTTGAAACACACAATAAAGAATAATTAATATTATAAATACTAAGTACGTGTAACATTATGTTTACCCTGCAAGAATGTTATGTTAGCCTTCACGTTTGTCAGTCCCAAACTGCAAACTCTAGAAACAGGTGGCATATGAGCTCAAGTCACACAAGCAAAGGGAAGAAACACTGTCCTCAAAAGGTCCTTTGAAGCAGCGTCTTCATTTGCACAGTAATATGGGAGCCGTCTTTTATAAACTATTAAGCAGAAAAAAGAAGTGCCAGTGCACAAAGAAGCTCCAGACCCCTTGGCTGTTTCCCTGTGCATTCTTGGGGAAATCTCCTGCCCTGCTGTAGATAACCTATCTCTCCACAGAAACCTTTCCATAATTCACCCCCTGAATCTTCCTTTTCAAGATTTCGGAGCTTTTTCTCAAACATCAGAAGGCTTTACAAATCTCCATGACCAATTGAGAACACAGATTTCCCTAGAAACAAAGATCAGAACCAAAGTAATTGGGCAAAAGAAATATAAGGGGGTGCAAGCTCCAGAACAAATCAATGAGTCTGATTGTGACAGGAAGCCTTGGGAGAAAAGAATTTTGTATATTCCTGTTGGCAAACAGCCTTTAGAGTGAGCCATTGTTGTACTCAATTCTTCTTTGTGCCTATTGTGTTTTATAACTGGTAAATCAACATGGGAAATGAATTCTATTTAACCACTTACCTTGAACATAGACATAAATGACAGAGGCCTTGTTGCTGTCCCGATAGAAGCACTTGTAGGCTCCAGTATCATTTCCGATCACTTTTGGAATTGTAAGCGTCTTACAGAAGACATGGTCGCTGCACTCGGTCACTGCCACTCTGTTCTCAGAACCACTCTGATTGTTGGGCCATAGCCAGTCCAAATCCCTCTGCCCACTGAAAAATCAATTCCCAGAAAATATTAATGTGAAAAGCCACAATACGGGGCTGTTTCTAAGGAAAACAAAGATTTGGTTCTCAGACTTATAAAATTCCTCAACACACAGATTCAAAGCCTTCCACCAATAATAACTCGGGGAATCAACAAGAGACAAAAAGCTATATAAACTCCGCTTCAGGATCCCTTACAGGGTTTCCACAGTTTTCTATTAATTCACTTTCTCATTCGTTCAACAAATATTTAAGTATGTTCTGTGTCCAACATGGGGGTTAGCAATGAACAAATCAGACAAAAACCAATGCCTTTGTGGAACCTCAGTCTTGCTGGTGCACACAGCAATAAAATAGCAAGCAAGTCTCAGTAAAACTGAATATTTTAATTAAATAAAATGCATTAGAGGAAATATGGAGGAAATATTAAATATTAAAAGCAAAAAGGGAGGGAAATCCAGAGGAAGGAGGCTTGCTGAATGGCCAGAGGACTATCAGGAGGGACAGTATTCCAGGGAGAGGAAAAGCAAATGTAAAGTTCCCGGGGCAGGCAGGAGATATTAGAACACTGGGGAAAGGTTAGGGAAGTCAGAGTGACCAGATAAGACTGGGCAAGCAGGGAGGGTAAGAAGTGAGGTTAGCAAGGAAGGGAATACAATGGTCTAAGAGCCTTTTAGGACATTGTACGGACCTACTTAAAATACAGATTATGTTGATTTCAGCATTTCTCTACAATGCCCCAAGGCAGGTGGCTCACCTCAAGAGGCAACATCTCTGATTCTTCTTTCAAAGAATTGGAAATTTCCATGAAATTGTAACAATATTCATGCAGTTACTTTTAACACACTCAACAGCTTTTTCAGGATGTAGGAAATGCTTGTGCAGAGTTTTAAAAGGGAGTATGGAATCTTTGGGGGTTTTAAATAACCTTTGTTGTTGAGGGTGGGTGTGAAATATGTCTTGAAATAGCAACACTAAAGTAACAGTGCCTGCTACTGCTATTTCCCAAGGGCTCAGTATTGGTGACCTATACTTGATAAAGGGACTAAGGTGTATACCTTATAAACTACAGTCTGAAATAGATCTGTGTCTCTGTGTTGAATACTTGGTATTCATCCAGCATGAAGGGACAGCAATAAGCTGCCCAAGGGTCTTTATATACACCCCAGCACTCTTCTCAGAGGCAACATCACTTTTACCAGTCTCTTTGCCCATGCTCTCTACTGTGGGCACACTGGTGCCAAAGAGCTTCCAGGTCTATCATTCATAATCACTATATTAAACACCAAGGTCTTCTACTTTTCCTCCTGGGGAATAGGGTTGGCAGGCAAAATCAAAAGACATTTTCTTGTCGAAGAGAACTGTTTCCCCAGTTGACAAAAATCAATAACATGACTTTTTGATAGCAATTGAGAAAAGAAACCTTCCAGAACATCAATTCAGAGCATGGAATCCACTACCTGCACAGAATATGCACCTGCAATGTTAATGGCTGAGTACTAAAGCTACAACAGTCAGAATTTTATTATGAAATGAAGTTCTCAAAAAGGGCCAAATAGATGACCAGGATAATAAACATCCAAAACTTTGGGTACATCCTCAATTTAATTTATTCATTTAATATTTACTGAGCATGTACCATAACTATGTATCAGATGTTATACTGATTATTGGGTGTGAGTGTGCACGTGTGCACGCATGTGTGTGTTGATAGAGGGAAGTAGAAAATAGTGCCAGCACAATAGTACAGAATTTGGGGGGAGAAGATCTTTCTCACTTTATCATGGTTACATCATTTCTTAGAAACCTCACTATGTATAAATAATAACTACAACTCTATTGTATTTCTGATGTGCAAATACAAACTTTCCCTCCATAAACAGTGAGCTACTTGCACACAAAAAAATCTAAATCTAAAACGAATCCTTACCTGCAAGTAATCTGAAGCGTTGTGTTAGCCATAATTGTAAGTATGTCTTTTTGTATGCTGAGCCTGGGTAGATCGAGAGGAACACTAGACAAACCTAGAAACAAATTAAATAAATGAATGTAGTTGTGACGGAGATAAACCCAATGGGAAACCATGAACAATGCACGCTCTAAATTTTAAAAGGCCTCTTCAGCAATTTATGGTGCAAAATTGTGAATTTACTTTTCACCATTCCCAGTAAAAGTTCACAAGCTGTGTAATAACAGGAAGAATGGGCAGATGGTCATAAACCGACACAACAGCTCTGCAGTTCGTAGAGCTAGGGTGGAGTTCCTGTTTTCCTGCATTGCCAACTTCAAGGTCTTACAAAAGGATATGGGACATTGAAACCAAATGAACCCTCATCTGATGATCTCACTCCCTTGGGAAAGGACCCACTGACATTTCTTATAAAACATAGGATGCACACATTTCACTAAATTGCTGATTAATGAATACTCCTTAGTGAGATTTCTATATAGCTCATCTATGTATCCCGAAGGGGGTGGAAGCATCTATGACCTCGTCTAATTTTCCTTTATCAATTTCTAGGGCACTTCCTCTGGAACTAGGACAGCCAAGACTGAAAGACTACACTAAAACTAGAGGCAAGAAAATGAGGAAAACATAGTCTAATGTCATAGAATATGCACATCACTATACTTCTTAGAAAATGGGACTTAAGAAAACAAGGTAATGAGTTACAATTAGGGAATCTCAACTATTCATTGAAGCTCTGAGCTCAACATGCTACCAAACTTGGAACACAAGAAACTTTTCTATCTAAAAATATCACAGGACAGATTCCTCACTGTGGGCAACTCTCTCCAGAGAAAGAAAACTGAGTTCTCTGTCAACTGAATGTGAAAAGCTACCAAGTGCTGAAAAAGCATGTCCACCATGCGAGGGCTGTGACTTGATAAGATTTCTAAAACACCAGCTTTAAAAGTGCCTGTTTTATGTAAGCACCCAATTTTAATATGGCTTTCAATTCTCATCAATAAAAACAAATGATTCTCTAAGACTACACTGGCATTTAGTTTGCTGGGCAAACAAGAGAGTATGAGCAAATGTCCAATGAATTGAATTTGTGAATTCAGTGTGTAATGTGAACAGTTCCAGGAAAAATGAACAACTGATCTTGCATGTTCTCACACACTCGCCTGAATGTGCAAAATAAGTTACCGAAATAACGGCAGATCTGTTCATCAATAAGAAAAAGATAAATCCTGGAAATTAATTTATATCAAATAGATCTCAGAAACGAATTAGCATTGGTACTGAATGTCTCAACATATTTACAGGCTTACAACTTCGCACTTTTACAAGCATTAAGTGACCATCATACATGGCACTCTAGGTCTAAGTGGCTACTTGTCTAGGTGGTCACATCCAGTTAATTATCATAGTACTTTTCAATAAGAAATAACTGCCCTCAAGGTAGAAAAATAAAGCAAAGTGTCTAAAAGCAATAGAAAAATCTTTCCAATAATGGAACTTGTCTAAGAAAAGGGAAACGAAAGCAATTTATTTGGATGAGCACAGCTATCAAACTGGACTAAGAAACACTAGGTTAGAAACATGTTGAAAACAGTGACCTAATGCAACATTCACAATGATCTAAGCAAGAACCCATTATTTGGGCACATCTATGTAAAAGAAAAAAAAATGTGGTAAAGACTAGCCTCCAAGTAAGCTATGTCTCCCCTATAACCAAAAGAAGAAATTCTAGAAGATCTCTCATAAATTATTGCCATAGTTTCTCTCTTACTCTAGACACACTTTCCCATTAAATAAATAAATAAATAAACATGAAAGCCCATTCAAAGGAAGCCAAGATGACACCATTCTAAAGACATGTCTATAACAAAAATAATCTATTCACCTGAGCTATCAATAATAACTTCAAATTCATACCTGTAGACCAACCCTCAATTTTTCCTGTTCCATTAAGCTTCATTCACTTTCATTGGCAAGTGAGTTCTACTCTCCAGAAAGTTTTAAATAAATAACTGTAAGACATACATATGCTCCTACTCCATAAAAAGCCCTTCTATGTTCAAACCCCATAACCAATATTAATTAATTTGTGCACTGTTACCCTTCCAGCTCAAAGATAGGCAGGAAAAACAACGGTGCCTCTGTCTCTAGAATTTGATGGCACCAATTACAGCTCAATCCAATTAAGCAAGTCACACACTCCAAAAGGGCAACCTCATCATTACATTCAGGGCAACCCGATTACAGTTACTACTGCTGCACTGTGAAACACCCCAGGCTTAAAAGCAACTCACTTCTTTGTGGGATACAAAACAACCACATGTTCCAGACCTCTTATTCTCTCTCCATAAAGGGAGAGAGAAAGGTCTTGTCAGGGACAAATGAGTGTCCATGATGGAGTTAGTCCTGATGAACCAAGCCATTATTAAGAAAATCCAATAACTATAGGACAGATGATCATGTTACTGTATATGAGTGTGAGTGTGTGTCCTTTTTTAAGACATGCGGTTCATTTCTTTTTATAGAGGAAAAACTTTCCCAGAGTTATTAGTCTTTTCTCTGCCCTTTGCACTGTGTTACCCTTCAGAGATTGGAAATCTGAGTATAAGCAAACTGTGAAAGAGAGACAGCCAGACAGAGGCATCAAGAGTGTGTGTTCTTTTTATTTTTTAATATTTATTTTTATTTATACAAGAACTGGGGTAGCCAGAGGCACAGGAGGGTGAGAGGATTCACTAGAGACAGAGGGGGGGAACAGAACAGGCAGACAGACCGAAGACATTGCTGAGGGGAGCAGCAGGCGAGGCAGGAGAGGTCTGCCATGCCATGTGGGTATCTCCCTGACTGGCCAGGAATCCAACCCGCAGTTCAGAGGCTGCAGACGGCTTTACAGCGCTGCGCTCAACCCGCTGCGCCACCGGGGAGGCCCAAGAGTGTGTGTTCTTAAACTTGAAGGAGACTGAACGGTAGGTAAAGAAGAGAGGGGTCAGTGGCACTAATTTTAGGTACCAAGTCAGTAAGTTTTTGGAAGCAAGAACTTCTGACCACACGCTTATCCCAAAATCAAAACACTTTTGAGAGATGAAATTATTTACAGAGAAGGTGATGTTACTTGGAGATACTAAGGGAAGTTGTCACTTACAATGGGTCCAAGCCCCGATAGACCCCTCTCGTTGCGGAGAGCCGCGCCCTGCACCAAGGTAAAAAGTTTCCCTACCCGTGGACCGCACCTCGTACAGTGGGTCTGTGCATGAGTTTCAGCCAATAGGAAAAGCACCCCGGGCTCGGCTCCACCCCAGCTGAGGCAGAGCTGAGCGCACCACAAGATCCCAGGAAAATGCCTTGCGCTCCCCGCAAGGCTGGGGGGGGTGGGGTGGGGTGCCCTAGGATGTTGGCTCAATCAGGCTACGTTTCACCTCCTTTACCGCCTGCGGAGCACCTCCTGCCAGTCCGCCCCGGGCGCCTCCCTACCACCGCCTCCGGGGAGCCCCAGGGCGTTGGGACTCCGCGGGACAGGCTGCAGCTGAGCCCCCAGTCCAAGATCAGAGCTGCACACTAGCAGCTGGACGAGAGCTTGGGAGACACAAACTCGCTAGGTACTCCTGAGCCGGTCAGAGAATTTCAGTTTCCTCATGCGTCAGTGAAAGGACAAAAAGTGTCCAGTCACTTTCAACTCTCCAGATCTGTAATTCCCAACTACATGCGCCCTCCGAGTCCTCTCCGCTACCTCACGCCTGCGCCCGCACCCGAATTCTCCACCCCTTCCTTCTCGGGAGTGGACTCCTTACCCCCAGAGTCAGCCCGGATCTCCACGTAGAGCCACAACGCGATGACCAGCAGCGCCCTGCTTTCCATCCCGCAACGTGCGCCCCGCGCAGTGCCCAGAACTCGCGCGCGGCTCCTTTCTCCCCGCGCCCGCCCCGCCCAGGCGCGGAGGCAGCGCCGCAGCGCTGGAGCCCGGACCCCGCAGGGCGAAGGTGCCCCGGCTGTGCTGGCGGCTGCTGGGGCGTCTGCGGGTGCAGAAAGGAAAGTCTATCCCGGCTGCGGGACGAGCTCTGGGCTTTCGGTGGCGCGCAAGGGACGCCCCGCGCAGGCAGAGAAAACGCAGCACCATACACTGCCGGCTCTCCCGGGGTCCCGGGACTGCGCGGGGTGGGAGTGGGGACCTGAGGTCTAGCGTGCAGGGGCGGGGCCATGCGGGGCGGGGTGGGGGCGGGGCTTCCCTCCGCGGTCGGCCCATCCCTCGCTTGGGTGCGGAGCCCAGACTTGGTGGTCCCGGTGTTTCTGCGCTTGCCGTGGACGGCGCCCAGCCCGGAGTCGCCGGGCCGAGAAAGTTACAGGCTCAATAACTACGTATCAGGCGGAAAGAAAATGTAGCCCGTCACAGGCTCTAAGTTACTCCGAGGTCAACGGGTGACTGTTTTCCATGCCTCACCCCCAGATATTGGGGGGCCTCACTGAGCACGCAGCGCGAGAACTGCGCTTTCAGGAGGCGCGCCCAAGTTTGGGGAGGTCTCCCGCGCCACGCTGGCCCGCAGGGGAACGAACAGGCTGGGGATCTGGAGCAGGTTGAAGCCACGAGGGTGAGGCGGATACTTTGCCGAGACCAATGCAGGATGGCCAGTTGGGCAGTGGCTCCCGTCAGGGGTCTGGCACGAGCCTTACAGTCGTGGTTTAAAAATCAGAACCTGAATGCCTTTAGTCAGAATATACACTTTGCTGATTCTCCAAAGTTCTCACTGTTTCCTCTTGTATCTGGCAGTTTCGAATGTTTTTAAGTTACCTGCCCAGCCCCCAAAGGCATTTAAATTTGAGACCCCCTGCCTGGCTTCTACCAAAATCTACCCGGGAGGCCACTGGGAGCGCGTGGTATGCCAGGCTGTAGTGAAGCCGCGTCTGGCAGGAGGGCCACTGTCCCCGAAGTGAGGTTTTCCTTGAGAAAGGGCTTTTTTTTTTTTTTTTCTTTGCACCGCGTTACCCGACAAGGATCTCCAAGCAGGACTGTTTTGAGGTCTTTGACAAGCCCCTTATCAGAGCAGAGCTTACAGCTAAGATACCCTCAGGCCAGTGGGAAGCGGGTCCCGCTGCGGTGGGCTGCACCGCGAAGCAGAGAGGCACGAGCTCTCTGGCCCAGCCCCGGGCACCCAGCACACTCTGCACAACCTCACAACCCTCTCCGCACATGCAGACTCCTTATGGCGCTTCCTGGAGGAGAATTCGGATTCCTTTCTTGGCCGTATTTGTTCCTTCTTTTCTCTCCATCTCTCCCCACACCAGAGGAGTGACATCAAATGTCTGTCAACTTCATTAAATGGTATCCTCCTGATCTCTCTCTCTTACACCCCAGGTGCTTTTCATGACAACTTAGATGATTATCCTTCGGGGAGATGAACAGGTAGAATTATAATTTCTACCTCTAATCCAACACCCTCTCCTGAAATACACAACTAATAGAAATTGCTTCTCTGCTGCCATTTACTCTTCTACTTTGCCAAGCTGACAATTGAAATACTTTATGAAATATAAACACGTTTTAAAATTTTTAATGCCTCTATCCTTTGATAAAGGCATGCATTTTTTCTTCCTTTTTCTCAAACAAATTTATGCACACATGGATATAGGTACATCACTGTCCTCTTCTATAAAGAGCAGTCTTACCCCTTCAAAATATACTTGAAGCCCTTAAGGCTCCATCTTGCTCTTTTTATAATGGCATGGTGTTCCACTGTATATATTTACTAATATTTAATCCAGGAGGTATTTATTTGTTGGGTGGAAGGGCAACGGTAGCCTTAAAAAAACTCCTCTCTTCCTGCTAGTAAACTTAGCAAATAAAACAAGATGAGCTCTGGCAAAAGTGAGTAAGTGTGTGGGGGGGGTCTGGGAGGGGTAAAACTTAGTTCTGAGAAGGCTATTTTTCTCATCTCCATCTACAAACAATTCTTTTCACCCAGTGTTATTTACAATTCACAACACTTCCTCTTCCCCATCTCACTTAAGAAGATAGTGTCTCTTCAGAATACAAACCAGAACCTTGCAGGCCCATGGTAATAGCCCCTCTCCAAAGCTTGGAGGAAATGATGCGTCTTTGATAGCCACAATACCAGAATTTGGCAGGGTCTCAATGAAATCAGTCTACCACATTCCCTCCCACACAGCACTTAGAAGTGCCTTGTGTTCATGAAAAATGACAAAGTCTGCTTTCAAAAAGGTCTGTTCCATGTACAATACCCTCCCATTATCTGGCACCACTGCAAAGGAGTGATTCTGTGAGTTAATCTGGCCATTTGGGGATGCCCACAACCTATCAAAGTGTCTGAGTGAGTTCAGAGCTCCAGAGGTGGCACTCAAGCCAGTTCAGGTGGAAGCAGCAGAGCGGGGCTGCCTGCGAGGACTCTGGGCCACTGTGCCTGGGCTGGACTCCAGACCTACCCCTTTCTGTGCAAGTCTTCATGATCAACCATGTCATATGTAGCTACAGAACACAAAAGATATTTCTTCATAGGGGTTTTTAAATAAGTTACTGCGTGTAAGGCTTTTAGAAACTGGTAATCTCTGACTCCACACATCAGAACAAGCAACTGATAACATTAGGAAGCTTTCTGCAGGCACAATATTGGGACTCACTGGCTCAAATATTGGTAATCCCTATAGTAGTCCTGAGGCCAAATTTCAAAAGACCTCCAAGATTTCAGAGCCAAGTTCACTAGGAGTCCATGTGTTCATTATGTTTTTTTTTTTCAAAGATTTATTAATTTATGCATGTAAGAACTGGGGTATAGGCCAGTGGTGTGGGGGGTGAGATGATTCACCAGAGACAGAGTGGGGAACAGAACAGGCAGACGGACTGAAATACACTGCTGAGGGGAGCAGCGGGAGAGACAGGAGAGCTCTGCTGCACCATGTGGGTTGCTCTGTGGCCGGCTGGGGATGGAACTTGTGCTGCAGAGGCTGTGGATTGTTTCATAGCACAGTGCTTAACCCCTTGCACCACCAGCGAGGCCCGTCATTATGTTCTTTCCCACATGAATTTGGCACATTAAAATGGAACTGATGCACAGGAAATCTCACCATGTCCAAGATTCAGTAGCAGATCATCAGATTAGATGGCTTTTCCTGTTTGCTATTCAACTCACAAGAATTGGTTTTAAACATGGAAGTGTTTCACTTACCTTATTAAATAAATTAAACTAAAATTGCCATAGTGTAGAGATAGGTATTTTTATCTTGTTACTATGATTCTATTCAAAAATATGTATTGAGGGCCTCCCTGGTGGTGCAAGGGGTTAAGCACAGCACTATGAAGCAATCCACAGCCTCTGCAGCATGAGTTCGATCCCCAGCCGGCCAGGGAGCAGCCCAAATGGCATAGCAGACCTCTCCTGACTCGCCCACTGCTCTCCTCAGCAGTGTCTTTCAGTCAGCCTGCCGGTTCTATTCCCCCTCTGTCACTGGTGGATCCTCTTACCCCCCACATCTCTGGCCTTTACCCCAGCTCTTGTATGCATAAATAAATCTTTAAAAAACAGATTGTTTAAAGTTCTTTCTAGGAATACAAATATAATTCAGTCATGCTTTAAAAAAAAAAAATGAAACATCCTGCAAAGGTAGTTACACTGCAAAACATGGTCTCCTCTGTGCAGTCAAGACCTAAATTATAAACAAGGCTCTTTTATTTAAAAACAGTTTTTGAGCACCTGCTATGTGGTAGGCGTTGTACTAGATAATAGGGCTGCAATGGGGAAAATAAAAGTAATATGAGTATAAATGAGCAGTCATCACAACAGCTCCATCTGGGACAAATTTAACTTAATCACTACTTTGCACCTCCAACTTCTTCACTATGCTTTGTGCACAATGAATATGCATGATTCATATCTCCAAAGCACACTGCATAAATGACACTCCAGGATGCCACATTTGGTTCCACGGCCACCAGTATTTTGGACTTTCAATCTTAAAAAGTAAATATAAAGTCTAGCAAAAAATTACTATTTGGTAAGTTGGTGAGTATATAAGGGTTTATTACTATTTCTATTTCTTTATGTTTAAAAATTTCCATGATTTAAAAAAATCTCTATTTTAAATAACTATGGTCAAAGTGACACTCTGTCTAGCATAATATGACTTTTCCACTACTGGTGTGTTGACATTACTTCTGGGAAATGACTGAGGCAGAGGGGCTGGTGGGTGAGAATGTGCCCTTTTTACTTCCTAGAGATCTAACATTTTGTCAAAATGACAAAGTATTCTTTTTTCAAATCAAAGAAACAAATCAGGCTCACCTCTCTTTGCGGTGGTTGCTATACTTTCAAATATTGTTGATTACATATTTACATGATACTTTCTGGTGTTTACTTCATTTAATTCTCTCCAATGTTTGCTTATGCTGGAACTCTGCAAAGCCTGTGACTGACTACCTTGCAAGATGCTGGCTTCGTGTCACAGTCCATCTGCACTCATGATCACATGCCTGCGAGATTGAGTGTACCCTTGTCTCTCGTTACCCACTTTCCTTATACACTCACGTTTGTTTTACTGTGTGATTTTTATATCTTTATCTCAATCTTAAAATATATTGGTATGTTCAGGGAAATGGCTATGTCACCACCAAACCAGACTTGCCGAGGATGTTTCTACCCATTTGATTTTTATGAATAAAACCTTACATTCTGATAAATAGCAAGCAAACACCACCACCCTTTTTGTGAAACAGAACTTCACTCTTTGCCACCTGCAAAGGAAAAATCTCAGTTACTACAAATATGTACACCTAGGTGCCTCCCCAAACACTCCTTATGGTTTCTTGGTATAGCTCACGTATGGATAAATATAACAATTTAGAATTTGGAAAGCATGCAGGGAATTTAAAGAACCAACTAGATTATTCAAAGAGGGATGTGAGAAAATAGTAAAAAGGAGCCAGCACTCACTGAGCACATCCTTTGAGCAGGCGCTGCTCTGACTCTTTCCCTTCACCCTCATTTCATCCTTACAACACCTCATGAAAGCAGCGAGCACAAGCAGCAAATTTTAATGGAAAAAGAGAGTAAAGACAAGAAATTATTTATATAGGTAAATGTTCCTTTGCCTTCCAAAAATTCTTGCCAAAAAAGTTGCTTTATCTGTTTGCAAACTGTTAATGCATACTTTCTCACCATTAAAAAATTATGTGGTAAGAATCAAGAAACTCTTTAAGGCAGAATTGCATAGTACTTATTAGGTAGCAGGTATTTTCCTTAAATTATCTTGTTTTCATGTTCACAATAATTCAATGGAGAGGATGCTACAGTTACTCTCATAGAAGGGGAAGGAATGAGATTTAGAAGGGTTAAGAAAATTTTCCAAAGTCCTGCAACTATCCATGGTGGAATCAAGATTGAGGAGAGAGGTATGAAAAATCCAAGACAGACCCTCCCCCACCCCAGCACATACAGTTCCTTCTTGAGGATTGATCTCTTTCAAATGATGAGGCCAAGTGAATTGATGCCACTGGCTGTCTCAGCCTCTCCATGATGATGACCTCCACTTTCCTAGGCAAGTGAAATGCAAGAGTGACTTAGGAGAATCACTACAGGACAGATGACCAGGGAAGAATGAAAGACAGGCAATGAAATCTCTCCTCCCCTACCCCAGGAATTCCAACAAAGTAGACCTTCCCCCTCTATTCAACTCCTGCATCACTGATCTTCCCCTGCAAAGGAGATCAGCTGCTCCTATACACAGTTTTTTGTGCACTTCAGGTATTTCTTTTCTGCCATGGATTTTTTCCCATTTGTCTTCTGGAAACCTTTTATTCATCCTTCAGTATCCAGCTCAAATGTCCTTCCCATGTGATATGTCAGTTTTTTCTTGTTAGTGGTGGTGATGCTGGTTGGTGATGGTGATGGTGGTGCGTGTGTGTTTTAGATTTTATTCAGCTGTCTTCTTCATTTGAGACCCTCCCAAAAGGAAGAGGCAGAGGTTAAATCTTACCTGAGTAGTTGAGTTGAGCAAGGTAGTTGTTAAATATAGCAAGTAATGGTGAAACAAGTGATAATATTTATTTACTATAATATATTTTAGTAAATATGTTGAATTAAACATATTTAATTAAATTATGTTTAATTAAACATATGTTTAATGAAATAAAGACTTACTGTGACATGTTTAATTAAATAAAGCTATTGTCAAAGTTACCATGGTGTTAAATGTATATGTGGCTGTATAATATGTACTTTCTATGATGGTTCTAAAATTCACATTGAAATTATAGTCATACCTTTAATAAATATATCAAGGATTATACTGAGTATTTACTGCATCCTGGGCAAATTAATGTGGGCCATTTTGTTAAACACAGAATTAGGAAATCACTTTTCTTCTCATGTATACACATCGCACTCATGTGATATGTGATAATGCATCATATGAGTTATCCCTCAAGCAGGAATTAGGCCAAATTTATTTTGTATTTTCAGGACCCAACACAATTTCTGTTCATATTCACTTCTCAATACATTGATGAACTTCAAATAATTTTTGACATTTTTTCCTTTCTGCTGCTCTTGCTTTCTCCCTTGCTTCTATTGCCCCAGAATTACATGCCTCTTTGATAATCATCACAATTATCTTTATAGAGTGCAACTTGTTGGAATAATAGAACTATATAATGCCTACATAGGCACAAAGCGAAAGAGCTTTTAATTTATAAAAAGTGGGGTCTGGAGTTTTGTTTTTGATTTTGAGAAATGAAGAAAAAAAGAGCACTTAGAAGATTTACATGTGTTACACGAGAAATGTGTGACTTGAATTTCACGTCTGTGCCTTTTACAGATTGTAATCATTTTCCAGAGAATTAATACCATCTCCCTTCTTAAAAGATTATCAAGTTTTCAAAGAAATGCATGGAACAAAAAAAAATGCTTTTGTTTCCTAGAGAATTGTTATTAGTCACTCCTTCCTCACAAGAAAGATTTGTAAACTTCCAGCTTAGTTGTGTAAGTTTGCAACTCTGCTCCCATTTTTACAGAACAAAGATATTATTTCTCAGTAATGTTATTTTACCAACATTGAACCCTAGTCAATGACAGCAGAAAAGTTTTATGTTCTTTGTATATAAATTTAGTCTCCAGAGTTTCCAAAACATTGGAGAGGAGTCCCTTGAGGCACAAAATAAAAATTCTCTAAGCAGTGTTTCTGAATGTTCATTTCTAATATATCACTGCCTTGGTGCACATAATAAGACCAAATAAAATAACTCACCAAGGAACACCACACACAATGAGGATTTTATTTTTAAAAATGAAAAATACAACTTCAGATATAACTGATAATCATCCAAAAACTGGTCTGACTGGTTACAGGCAGATGAAAGGCCATAAGGGAGTCATTTCATGCATCTGACCACATAATATAAATAGAAGTTCCAGATGTGGAGGAAAAAGTCCAGTAACAAAGCAACACATCGAAAATATTAGACATTAAAATGGTCTTTGGATAGTATATGAATACACATTTCCTTATTCTAAGAAAACTTGACCTTGGGCCTCCCCAGTGGCGCAGCGTGTTGAGCACAGCGCTGTGAAGCTGCCTGCAGCCTCTGCTGTGCAGGTTCGATTCCCAGCCAGCCAGGGAGAAACCCACATGGCTCGGCAGACCTCTCCTGCCGCCCGCTGCTCCCCTTAGCAGTGTCTTCAGTCCATCTGCCTGTTCTGCTCCCTGCTTTGTCTATGGTGAATTCTCTCACCCTCCAGTGCCTCTGACCTGTACCACTGTTCTTGTATAAACAAATAAAAAATCGTTTAAAAAAAAAACAATTTGTTAAAAAAGAAAACTTGACCCTGCTTCTTCCTAAAACAACTTCATTGTCTGTTACTTTCTACCTTTCCTTCCTCAGAAAAGCTCTTGAAAGAGAAGAAGCCTGTGCTCACCTACTCTCCTGCAACACATCAGCTTCTCCTCAGTCTCGACTCTGCCTGGCCTCGCTACAACATCCACACTTCTGTCTATTGCCTCTTGAAGCTCTTCTTTGCTTGATGTTCATAACACTAGACACGTCAGCTTATCCAGCCAGTGTCCATCACTAGTCAAGTTTTCTTTGCTCAGACCTAATCACAGGGGATCTCTGACTCTCTTCTTTGTCCTCATCCCTTGTTCTCCTCCTTGACTTTCTCAGATATCATATTCCCCGTGGTGCTCTCAGTTACCATCCTTATGGGGATAACTTGTAAAAGGGCTTTCCAGCTCTGATTTTCTACCATAGCTTCAGGTTCTAATCTTCAAGCCTCTCTGGACATTTCTATGTGTATATTCATCAATCTTTTAAATTAAAAGTGTCCAAAAATGAACTCGTTTTGGACTCTGAATACTCACAACTGAACTCCTGCACAGTCTCCTTTGGCCTTGTCCAGTACAAAGTTCTTCTAGAGGCTCACGCTCCATACCTTGCAGGCATCTTTTTCCTTTCGCCGGAATCTAAACTTGTCCATATTCTTTATATCTCTCATATCCATGCCCTATTTCATTGATCAGACTGCCCTGACTCCTGACCATTTTGCCTCTGTCCTGAAATATTCCAATCCATCCATCTCTCTGCTGACAAAATTATCTTTCTAAAACACTAAGTTCATTCATCTTTTCTTTAACATTTGGCATTTGCACATAGCATAAAACCCCAAATCCTAAGCCTATTGTGTGCAAAGGATCCATTTCTTGCCTGCTTTCTATTTATAGCTTATGTTCCAGCATAGCATGTGCATATTCTATATTCCAGCCATATAGGCCATGAGGCACTTCTAGAAAATGTTTTATACTCTCGTCTCCATGCTTATGCTGAATGAGTTCTCTTTGTCTAAATGTGATTTATTCCAACAGCTGCCTATAGGAGACTGGACTCACTTCAAAATCAGAACCCAAGAAGTTTCCTTCATTCCTATTCTCCTGCCATGCAAATCTGAGTTCTTCTCTCTCCCTCACTGCAGCCTCACATCAGAACTCCTTGGGTTTTAAGCAACAGAAAATCCAACTAAAGTGGACTTAAATGTACAGGATCGTATTGCTGTAAGTTAGAGGCTAGATTCAGATAGCTTTGTCCAGTGTCTCAGTGTGTCATCTTCCTATTTTCTCTGTGACACTCTCAATTCTGCCTCATGCTCACCTCCTCACCTATGGAAGTGACTAAACCTCCTCAAACCGCATTGTCCACAGAAGGAGAAAGTTCCCTGCCAGAAGCTCTTGCGAAATAAGCTCTCTATTCTCAGTAAACATCTCTCATATCTCATTTGCTCATCCCCACACCAATTACCAGGCTGGTGACTTGGCCCATTCAGGCTGCTACAAGATACTACAGACCAGATGACTTATAACAACAGAAATTCATTCCTCACAGTCTAGAAGTCTGAGATCAGGGTGCCAGCATGGTGAGGGAGGACCTCTTTGGGGTTGCAAACTTTCCAGTATGGGGGGACTAGGAATATCTATGGTGTGTCTTTCATAAGAGCAATAATCCCATTCAGGAAATCACCACTCTCATGACCTAATCACCTCCCAAAAGTCCTACCTAATAATATTTCTCCTTTGGGTGTTAGGCATTTGGGGGAGTTGAGGGGACGGCATAAACATTGAAACCATAGCAGGCAGGAAGGATACCAATTAGCTTAGATCAAACTTAAGAATCTACCCCTACAATTAAAGAGTAAGGTCAATAACATTAAAACCACATCACTCAAATTAGGAAAGGAATTATTTCTCCAAGAAAAAAGAATGCATTTTGTAGCAAGCAAGAGAAATGGATGTTAAGGAGATAACCAACCACCCCCTTACCCCAAAAGTACATTGTTCAATATCTGATATATCATATATATAATATCCTGCCTTCATCAGATTTATTTGGGTATGATGTGTCTGTCTTTCTCATTACATTTGTGAGCTAGAGAACAGGTTTGGCTTTCATAATTGTTTTTCTCTAACACCCAATTAATCGAAGGTAAGGTTTTGCATTCTTTCTCTGAAGCAGTTTCCCTTCACCCAGTGGTATCATCATAACAATAGCAAGGGTTTTGAGTCATTATATGTCAGACCCCACTGTAAGTATGTAACATGTGCTGACTTCTTCAAATCTCTCCATCAACCTAGAAAGTCCTTACCATTATTACTCTCACATCAATGATGTGGAAACCAAGGCTCAGAAAGTAAGTAAATCTCCCAATGCCAGTAGCTTCTTGGGTGCTGGGGGAGGGGTACGTAGGGTGGGGAGGGACCAGGATTTGAACCAAAGTGACATGAACCCAATGCTACACTCTGAAACAGACTCAAATCTGGATCATCTCTCAGTAAAGTATACCTGCTGATGAAACAGTCACTGAAAAGGTATTTCTTGTCTTTCAGACCAGCCAGCAGAGTATCTACCCATCTTGCCAATTTTGCTTTCATAACATACCTATTGTTTCTCGTTTGTTTGAATGGCAAAGTGATCATCCATCACTTGGCTAGACTTGTAGAATAATATATTAAAGACCAATTGATCCTGTATCCTCATCCAAAACTCTCCTAACCTTAATACTCTTTTTTCTGATCTGATCTCCAGCAGCAAATGTTTAATGTCTTTTAGTTTACGGTCCAAAGAGAATAAAACTATAAGGAACTAATGTCAGTTGTATTTGGAGTTTTTGCTCCGGACGATAGTTCTCGTGGGATGGTATGTCAAATTGCCCCCTGGCTTCTTTCTGTCCTGTGAGAAGGAACATATAGGACTGGGGAACCCTCAAGAGATTCAGTCAATAAGTTATTGATCACTAAAGACAGATCTTTGCATATTGAACAAGCATTTAAAAAGATTTTCTACAACCATACCTGACAACACACAATCCTCGCACATGACAGTCTTTTTCTAGGTCAACACCATTGGGTTTTGTCCCACATTCTACACCTAGAAACCTGCTGTAATGCCCACAATCTGCCTCTTGAGTACAAATGACAGATTACTGAACAATCCCCATTTATTCAGCAAATTATTAATTTACTTTTAAAAGCAAGGTACTTATCACCTATCTATGCAAAATACCAGGATTTTAGACTTTTTAAAAGTATAGCCACAAACTAGATATACTTTTCTTAGCTTTTAATAAGAACTTTATTGGACATTTATCATTTTACTTTTAATTTATTTTTATTAAGTATTTATTTTTTAGATAGCTTATTTATTAATTGTAAAGCTGTGTTTCCTAATTCTAGCTGCACGTTAGACTCTCCTAGGTCTGGGGAGCTTTGAAAAAATACTAGAACCTGGCACCATGCTCCATCAAACCACAATCTCTGAGACAAAAGTCTAACCAATAGACATTTTTGTGTCTTCCAGAGTGATTTTAATGTATAGTCAAGGCAGATAACCATTGTATTAAACTGTTATGATAACAAAAAAGATCCTTCCAAAATTTAGAAATGAAAGCATTTTAGGTCCAGGACTATTTCATTCATTGAGTATAATAATCACAGCGAGCTTTCAAAGGGTACCAAAATCATGTGAGAATTTTAAAAAGTGTAACTCATAAAACCAAAATTTATTCTTAGAAATTCAAAACTATTAAAAATACATTTGAATATTTTTTTTTTTTTTTTTTATAGAGGCATGCTTTATTTATTTGTTTGCTGGTTTGTTTGTTTTGTTTATACATGCACTGGGTACAGTCAGAAGCGCGGGAGGGTGAGAGAATTCACCAGAGCCAGAGCGGGGAGCAGAGCAGGCAGAAGGACCGAAGTACACTGCTGAGGGGAGCAGCGGGCGGCAGGAGAAGTCTGCACGCCATGTGGGACCCTCCTCCGGTGGCCGGGGAGCAGCCGGGGATCGAACCGGCGCCGCAGAGGCCGCGGGCAGCTTCGCAACCCAGCGCTCAACCGCTGCGCCACCGGGGAGGCCCCATTTGAATATTTTTAATCAGAAAAAAATCTCCATTTAGTATAAGACATGAGTGCATATGTTTGCCATGATCTAGGGTGAGTCTTCTAGAAGTAAGAACACCTCTACCATAAAAAGGTCTTAGTGCACCCATGAGTATTTCAAATTACAATTCAATGTTTGCAGCATAAAATGTTCCTGTCTACTGCTGAAGAAAACATCAAGGAAATAAGAGTGAAGTCAACGGTCTGGTAGCAATTCATCCTGATAGAAGGAATTATAGCTTTCCAGGTCTTAGCTTCAAACAGAAGATAAGCTTTTTATGTTTAGAGGCAAATCTCCCTTTTCCCCCCTAAGTTATGCTTTTCGTTACATGCTCTTCTGAATGAAAGAACTGCCTGGAGGAGGTTGGCAGGGAGGAAGACACCCAAATTGAGTCTCAAGGAAGATGAATCATCGAGATTGGTTTCTCTGATCTAGAAGCAACGCAATGCAGTGTGTGATGTTGTCTTCCACCCTTCCTGGCCTTTAAAGTCAAAAGTCAAATTCCAGTGGATGGGAGTCATGTGTAGAGCTAGCTCTTCTATCCGGTTACAGAATTCTTCAGGGTCTAAAATGAGGGCCATAGACCTTCAGATTTAAAATTTTTTTAAGAATTTGAGCTTCCAAATGTTTAAAATCATCTGTATGTATGTGCTTGTGCACAGAAAACAGACCAAAAACATACCCGTGAGAATTTCGCAGTTGATTATTTCTTGGTGAAAAAAAATGCATGACTTAAATTTTCTTCAAGAACCACGTAATCTTTTTATACATATATGGAGAGAATAAAAGTCCTGAAGGACACAATGAATCTTAAAAAGATCTACCCCTTAAGATTAGAGTGGGGATGGGAGAAGAGATTTCATTTATTACTCTGTACTGTTTTATAATTTAGCATCATAATAAATAATAATAAACTTATAATAATAAATTTTAAAAATTTGCAAACTGACCTTAGATCTGAGGCATAGGGCAAGGGAGGGGAGGAAGAAGGGTCAAAACAGGGGCGGGACAGTAAAGGGACTACGGTGATGGGTCACGGGTGCTGTGGTGGTGGGAAAACTACAGGGACTACACCTGGGGAGAGAAATCAGATACTTTACCAAAATTAACAACAATGTCAGAAAATAAAAATGCATTTAATAATAGTAACGACAAAAAATTTAACTTACTAAAGGCCATACTCATTCTAGTAATCCCCTTGTAACACTCCCTGCTGCCACATGTGATTATGGTAATGTCAAAGCAAGGATCTTGATCTCAGTCAAAATTTATAAGTTATCAATTCACAAATTATCAATTGTAACTCATTTTAAAAGCTTAGCTATATATTAAGTTCTCGCTATACAAAATGTTCGTACATTACCTCATTTTCTCTTCAAAACAATGTGACTGAGGAAATGTTAGCATCTTTGACTGCCCGCTTCACTAGAAAATGAAAGAGTCCAGGATTGAAGTCTGCATCTTTCTGGCTTCACAAACCAGTCTCCTTAAATGAAAGAAATTAAAATTGTGAAAGAATCAGGAAATTTGAAAAGTAAGTGGATATCAGTCTAAGTTGATAATATTTCTGCTGACATAATTCTCTTTAAAACATTGTAGTTCTCCTACAATTCTGCTTGAGATTTTCTCTAGTAGCCAAAATTCACATCCATAAATTGTTTTGAGTTAAATGTTTCTTGCTTTCAGCTTCTGCCGAGACCGCTGGGGACAATGGCTTTAAGGTTTCTTAGGAGCCCAACTGTTTGACTGCATCATCCTCTGAGACAACATCTCAGATCTTCCCACTAAGTTGTCTGCCTCCAGGGTTCAATAGTATTTTCCTTTTATGTCCATACTGCAACTCTTCTCAAGTGTCCTTATGCTTTTGCTAATATACTTTTTTTTTACACTTTCTCCTGCACATACGTATTTCAATGGTTTGATAACATTTTTCTTGGAGAAGTTTCAATATATAGGGTTTGTTCCACATTATCTCTTATTTTATGTCCCTCAACAGATTGATTAAATTTTTGTTGATGCCTATTCAGTTCTTCAGTATAGGTACTATCTTCATAATAAGTTCCCAGATAACTATCCCCATGGCTGAAAATTGGGAAAATCCTTCAAAATATATTTCACATGATTGTGAAGGGAAAGGAATTGTCAAAATATAATTGGGGATTCACATTACCTCATGTGTTAAAGGCTGTCATTATTATTTTAAAATTAATTTCTGGGCCTCCCTGGTGGCGCAGGTGGTCGAGTGCAGCGCTGTGAAGCTGTCCGCAGCCACTGCAGCGCCAGTTCGATCCCAGCCGGCTATCGAGAATCCCACATGGCGCAGCAGACCTCTCCTGTCTCTCCCACTGCTCCCCAGTGTATTTCATCAATCTGCCTGTTCTGTCCCTGGCTCTACCTCTGGTGAATCCTCTCACCCTCTAGTGCATCTGGCCTGTACTCCAGTTCTTGTATAAATACATAAATAAATAAATCTTTAAAAATATATTATTAAATTAAATTAAATTAAATTAATTTCCTTTCTGGGGCCTCCCCAGTGGCGCAGCGGATTGAGCACTGTGCTGTGAAGCTGTCCGCAGCCTCTGCAGCACTGGTTTGATTCCCTGCCAGCCAGGGAGAAACCCACATGGTGTGGCAGACCTCTCTTGCCTCACCTGCTGCTCCCCTCAGCAGTGTCTTTGGTCCATCTGCCTGTTCTGCTCCCTGCTCTGTCTCTGGTGAATTCTCTCACCGTCCCGTGCCTCTGACCTGTACCCCAGTTCTTGCATAAATAAAAAAAAATCTTTAAAAAATTTAATTTCCTTTGGAGTAACATACTAAGGTATTTAGTTTCAAATGGACTGTCCTAAAGATATTTTTCTCTTCTCAATTTTCCATAGTTTTTGAAAAGAAAGTACAGTGTTGTAGTGGAAGACTAGGAGCTTTGATGTCAAAAAACTGAAATTAGAATCTCAGTTCTAGGTGGGCACTTTCAACCATGCTGAGCCACAGTTTTCTCTTTTTCATTTTATTTTACATTGATTTGTTTTATTGTGGTAAGAACACTTAACATGAGACCGATCTTGTCAATAGATTTTTAACTGTAGAATGCAGTAGTTTTATCTATGAGCATAATGTTTAGCAGATCTCTGGAAGTTATTCATCTTGCATAACTGAAAGTAATCATACTAAAATTTAAAGAAAAATTAACACCAATGCTTTCCAAACTCTTCCCCCAAAAAAATTAAAAAGGAAGGAACACTTTCAGACTCATTTAACAAGGCCAGCATTATCCTGAAACCAAAGCCAGGCAAAGATACAAGAAGAAACCACAGGTCAATTTCTCTGATGAACTTTGATGGACAAATCCCTCAGCAAAATATTAACAAACTGAATTTAAAAAAGTACATTAAAAGGATTATGAACCATAAAAAATGTGATTTATCCATGGGGTGCAAAATGGTTCAATATAAGAAAATCAATTAATGTGATACACCACATTAACATAATGAAGAATAAAGACCACATGAGCACCTCTTCAAAATTCTGTAGACTTTCACTAACATGTTTCTCAAAGTCCTGACAGCCTCTTCTGATTATCCCACTCAAAAGCTGCTCCCAGATCTTCAAAGTTTGTTATGACAGCACCTCACATCTGGACCAAAACTTGTGCTAGTTTTCTATTGCTGGATGACAAATTACCACAAAACCTAATAGCTTCAAATAAGCATTTTATTAGAGCAGTTTTGAAGTTCCAGAGTGTGATCTGGGTTATTCTACTTCCAAGTTTCTCATAAGGTTGCAGTCAAGATGTCAACCAGGGAAGCAGCCATGTGAAGGGTCGGCTGGCTAAGGAAGCCACGTCTGGTATGACTCACCCATATGACTGTTAACAGCAGGACACCAGTCCTTGCTGAAAGTTGGGTGTCTCCACAGGGCTACTTAAATGACATAGAACTTGGCTTTTCCAGAGCAAAAGATCCAAGGCAGCAAAGTGGAGATCATAATGTCTTTTATGTTCTAGAATTGGAAGTCTTGAACTGTCAAGTTCACAATATTCTACCAGTTACGTAGTTCAGCCCTAGTCGGTGTGGAAGGACATTAACACCAGCACTTGAATACCAGAGACAGGATTCATGGGGATTATAGTGGATATAATTTTTCTCATTAGTGTTTTACAATTTTCAGCATTCAAATCTTGACAATATTTTGTTTGATTTATCCCAAAGTATTTCATGTTCTTTGGTGCCATTTTGAATGGGGCTATTTTTTGTTTTAATTTCCAATTGCTTTTTGTTACTATATAAAATATAACTAATTTTTTATGTTGCTTTTGTAAACTGTCCTTGCTAGTCTCACCTACTAGTTCCAGTAGATTTTTGGTAGATTTATGGGAATTTTTATGTGGATAATCATATTTCTGTGGATAAAGATGAGTTCATTTCATTTTTTCCTATAAACATTTTTATTAGTTGGTGTATTTTACAGGCAAGGTTCTCCACCAAGTAGATGTGATAAGAGTGTACATCCCTACCTCATCTCCATGCTTGGGAAGAAAATATATAGTCTTTCATCATTAAGTATAATTTTACAAATTTTTCATAGATTTCCTGTTATCAGGCTGAGAAAGCTCCCTTTCATACCTAATTTATTGAAAGTATTTATGAATGAATATTGAATTTTTTCAAATGTCTTTTGTGAATTTATTGAGATAATCATACAGTGTTCTGGCAAATGCACTATTAATTTTTGAATGTTGAACCAAACTTACATTCCTGGGATAAGCCCACTTGGGTATAATGTGTGAACTTTTTTTATATATGACTAGATTTGACTGAGTAACATTTGGTTAATGATTTTGTAACCCATGTGTAAGGGTGATATTATTCTGTGGTTTCCTTGGAGTATCCATCTCTGAGTTCATTATCATGGTAATAACAGCTTCATAAAATTAATTGGGAAATGTTTCCTTCTATTCTGTTTCTGGGCCATCTCTATTTACAGGTTAAAAGATATTATCTTGGATTTGCTTCAAAATAATTTGGCATGGGGGTGAAGGATGAATGTGAATATATATAAAACAAGATAGCCTAAAATTTGATAACTATTGAAGTTTAGCAATGAGTAGATGGAGATTTATAATACTTTTATCTACTCTTCTATATGTTTGAAATTTTCAATAATAAGACATTTTCTCTTAAAAATAAATCAGTGTCCTTTCCACAGCTCTATCCTACTTTCCAATTAGTATTCTGAGAAAAGAGGGTTTCCTAAAATTTCAGCAAGAGGGAAGCATAATATTAGACACTAGAAGTTTCTAAAGATGTAAAAATTAAGATAGTCTTAATTTATTGGCTATTTCTACAACTTAATTAAAAAAATTCTAATCTGTAATGCAGTGATTATCAAACTTTAATGCAAATGAAAATCACCTGAAGGGCTTCTTAAAACATTGCTTAGAGCAGTGGAACTATTCTATTAGATACCATAATAGTGGATACATGTCGTCAGTTTGTTTAAATCTATAACATAGAACACCAAAAGAGAAATTTATTGTAAATTAGGGACTTTGAATGTTGTGTCTATGGAGTCTCATTGATTACAACAGAGTGTTCCTCTACTGTGGGTGTGGATGGCAGGGGAGGCTGTGTAGGGAGGGGAGGTATATGAAAGCTATTCTTCTGCTCTATTTTGTGTGAACCTAAAACTGCTCTTTAAAATGATGTCTTTTTTAAATAACACAGATTGTTAGACTTCATCTTCAAAGTTTCTCAAGTTTGGGCTAGAGTCCAAGACTCTGCACTTCTAACAAGTTACCAGGTATTAACAATGATACTGGTGCAGCAACCACAAAGGAATTCACCTTCAGTGCAAAGCCTCAGATTTCAGAAATTTCAAGCTTTTAGCAATTTAAATGCTGGATTTAGAAAATAGAATATTATTTAGTTCATGGGCTCTAAATTGTGACACTAAATTCTGTTTGATTCATTTGGCAAATGTTGGTGCCTACTATGTAACAGGTCCTCTGCTAGCAGCTAGAGCTACAAGGATAGATATGGATGCATTATCCCTGCCATTGAAGATTATATAGCTTAATGTCCTTATCTTTAGCCCTATTTATTAATTTTAGAAAATAATTTGTTCAATTCTAGTTAAACTTCTTTGTATGTGATGGATTTTTAAATACTTTTAAGTATATTTTTAATAAATTCTAAGTTGGGTTCAGTTTGTAGTCTAACATATTACAGTGCTTTTATATATCTATGTATTATAACAGTGACAATCCTTCTGTTTTACCCAGAAAGGAGCTTATAATCATTTCATTCTTCCACCTCCTCAGTTTTACAGTTGAGGAATCAGAAGCCCAGAAAAAATGAGGGAAACTTCCCAGAGTCATTAAGCAAGTAAGTGATGGGATTCCAACTAATCCAAGCCACTGAACTCCTAATATGGTAATGTTCCCTCGACATCAGACTCATAACTTCAATTCCAACACCAAGAAAAATGATAATTCCCATATCTAGGAAAATTTCTCAAATTTCAGTGGAATTTCATCATTAAATTAAATTATTGAAGAGCATTGTTAATTAGGAAAAAAGGTATAGAGAAAAACATGAAGGAATGTTAATTCTAATGGCATTAGTCACTTTCTGTGTACCATGTTCTGTGACTTAGAACATTCACTCTTCCTCAATGATCTTATGAGATATGTACAATTATTATGCCCATTTTACAGAAGAGGAAACTGTAAAGAAGTTTTGTATCTTGTCTCAAAGAAATACACTTTTTGCACTAAATTCCAACTAGTGGTCTTAGGTAAAATTAATTCCCCAAAGTAACCAAATTGTGCTAGGAGGAAGCTATTCTTCTGCTCAATTTTGTGTGAGTAATATTCAATCATTGTGCGTAGTTTTATAGTTCATCAAAGCCCCAAATCCTCTTTGCATAGTTGAAGAAATCTCGGGGAAATAGATGAAGAAACAGAAAGAGATTTTTTCAAAATTTTCAGACTGAGCAGCTGTGTTTTTCTGAACAGGTCAAATATTCAATAAAATTGGTCTTTCAGCATTTGGGACTCACACATACAAGTCAAAAGACTTCACTGGAATGGAACGTGCACCAGGTACGCACACAGACACAGACACGTACACACACACCCTCATTCAATTTCATGTATAAACAAACATTACCTTATACTCTTGGGAATTATTTTTAGCTATCTTTAGCCAAACTGGTTTTGCTGGCAGACTGCAACTCTTACAGGTGGCACCTATTCTCTATGGAGTGTTTCCTTTTCCCAGAACTGAGACATTGGCACCACTTACCTCCTTGCCCCCTCAACATCTGTTTCTACTTGTGTGCCAGCTAAGGCCACCTGACCTATGAAAGGAAACAAAACAAAGGTTCATGGTCATTGTCTACCAAAATGGCATGTTTTGGTCCAGTCCGACCTTGGAAACACAGATTGGGAAACTCAAATGCAATGCCAAGCACTGGTATCTTAGGAAGGGGCGATGTAAAAAATATTTCCCTAATTTATCTGCTGGTGTTGAATAGAAAATAAGGTAGGACTCTAGTGTCTAGAGGAATCAACTCATAAAATAAGTATTTGCTGCCCTTTCCAAAGCATTGTATAGTGCTGCAGGGGTGGTACAGAGGATGGAGTACAAAGTTCACCTTGAAGATGTTAATGAAGCTAACAAATCTGAATATCAATACATCAACCAGAAGTTAATACAAAAGGCTAAGCACAGTGTCAAATTTACAGGATAACCACTAAATATCACAGGTATTCCTTGGAAGCAGTAAAAGCCAATGATAGGAAATCTGAGTGGTGGTGATTAGAAAATGTCACTTAATTTGTGACACATGATATAATTTTCTTTTTAATAGTTTACTAGGTTGAAAATGACCAAATGACAGCTCTCCTTAGAGCTAAACCTCGTGATACCCAAGAAAATCCTTTCCCATATTCCCTATGTTTCTTTTCTGCTTCTATCCTATTCCTATGGTCAGGATTTAATTATCTGTAGCAGTTGAAGATCAAAACTAAAGAAAATAAATCCAGAGATATGACATAACCTTTAATTTTGCCTTCAGACCTTGTTTCCAGTTTCAAAACTTTATTTGTACTGTAATGACTGGAAGATCTACATGCACATGGATATTCATTGTAATATTAGATGATTAAAAAAAGATTGAAATAGAAATAACCTTAATAATTGCAATAAAGAAGGAGGTAAATATAATGCAAAAAGAGACATGTAATGTCACCATGCAGTAATGTCTCATATGATTCCATTTCGTTAAAACACCAAAGGATATTGAGACCTCGTGTCCTCATATACAAACCAATTCCAGGAGGCAAGATTAGAAATTGTTAATAACATCTGTGGGAGTAGCAGTCAATGTTTTTTTTAATGTATTAATTTCTCCACTGGTGGGAATTTTTAAACATATAGGACATTTATAATTTTAAACAGTTTAATTAATATTCATGTATAATATTTACATTTCTGCCTTGCATTATGCTTTACCAACCAATAACCTAGGGATCACTACTCAAAGCAAAGCAGAATATTACCAAGAGGTTCATAAAAATGAGCATGAAGAATGTTCACTACACACAGATTTTTTTATTTAAAGGTATTTGTTATTGACTCACAGAGAATCTAATTTTCCTCAAGCAATAGATGGATGAGTCTTATAACTTTTTGGTGCTAACCAATAGTTGATAGCCTCAGAAATTTGGATTTCAAAGCTGAAACAACACATGGATCTTGGACATGATCATAAATTGTGAGGGGCTAATGGTTTAAGATGCAGGAAACCTGTAGCTATGGTGCTCTACTGACTGGGGACATTTTGAGAGCTTGTTTAGAGGTTCTAGCAGGGTAGTACAGCTACTCATATACCCTCGACTGAAGAGCAGTCCATCTCCATTCGGGGAAGGCTGTCCTCTTCAACTGAGCATGCAGCTTCGGGAGGGACGCACATGGAGCTGTGAGGAAGGAAGGGGACACCCGCCTAGCCAAATCAACCCTGGCGATCAATAGGGGTGACAAATGTCACAGTCAGATCACCCTCAATTCCCGATGACATTTTGAGGCAGCTATCACCCTTGAGCAGAACTGAGTGCTCTTGATATCCAAGTGACGTTTCTTCACCTTTGCCTGTTGGAGCACTGAGCAGGGAGCAAGTTGTCACCACCAACACTGTGTATGGGATCAGGAGAGAAGCAGGGGAGGCTCAGTCTGTTCTGCTGATGCACCAGTTCAGGGAAAGTTGGTTGACACAGCCCTTTGCCTTCCGCTTGGCTTGACTAAAATCAGGAAAAGTGGTTTAGACTTAGTACTTTCGCTGTTCTCTACAGGTCCACATGTTTCCTGACCCTTGACCTTTTTTTCTGTCCAGGGGCAGTCACCTGCACATGAGCTGAGCTGACAATGACATCCTGCCCATTTCTATGTCCTGGACCCTTGTCGAGCTCATCAGTCTGCCCATATCTTCTGCAGATGATTCATTTCATGTCCAGCTGGTCTGACCACATTGTCACCTAACCACACCACCATGCTGGTTTCTTACTTATAAGGAAGAAGAAACATTGATGTGAAGGAGTTGGAGGGAGTCAAACCAACTAGTAAATCACGTAAGTAAACGTAACCCCCAAGAAGTGAGCTGGATCTCCCAAATTTTTTAGGAGTGTTTAATATTTGGTCAAATATTTAGGCTGATGATAAAACTCCTGCTCAGCACTATCTATTGAGTCCTTTCTCTCCCTCTAAGTAAAGATATACAAATTTCGTGGGGCCATACACAGGAATGGGTCAGGATAGTTTGTTCATCTCTTCGGCTACTTGCATAAACCTTTCCTGTGTTTTGCCTCTTTTCCTAAATGTTATCTGAAAGTGTTGCAAATAAGTGTGAACAAGGCAATATACAATATCTGGCCAGTCACGTGATCACTAGTCTGGGTTCCCATTCCCTGTATTAGCACCAGGGAAGTATGTAGAAGAGGGGAGAGGTTTTCAATTAAAGAAGCTCTGTCTTTATCCTCAATGCTTTTTTGTTTTGTGTTCTATCATTGGACTTGGAACTCTGAAATTCTAAATTGGTATCATTCTAATAGTACTATCTTACGTATGTTTACTCAGTTACATGGGGAACTCAATTACATGGGAAAATATAATATAACCCAAATATTACTCTCACAGCAAATTTCCATTAGAATCTCAACATCAGAAAACAAACATGGAGTCCATCTTGCACAAGAAACAAGAAAGTCCATTGCACTCAACATTGCTTGAATAATCTGTTGCAAGGAGAATATTTTAGCTCTGTGGAATTATCATCAGTTGCACATCAGCTAGATGAAGAAGAAAATCAGAGTGGCAAAAGGAGAGTTACTAGCTAAGACAATCACACATTTTTACAGCAGCCTTCTGAAAATATGGACAAGAGTGGTTTTTTTCTATTCAAGTTATAAGCAACATCTTGAACATTTGGGGTTTAGAATCAATCTTATTAAAGTCCAGAGTATAAGAGGCTCAAGATCAATTCTATAAATGAAAGATCACATATGCAATTTTAAAGAACATTTGTTTAGAGCTAGAATATTAGGAAAATAATGGTTCAACTTGAATTCTTTCTTGACAGGTCCCGAATTACTATCAGATACATACCTTGCACTTTTCCTGGCTCAATTACAATAGGAAAGTTATTCTATATTTGCTGTTAAGGGCAATTTGTCAGATTATGAAGCTGTCAACTCTGCAAATGATCAGTGTCCAACAGATCCTTTGACCAAAACATAGCTTGGAGAAAAATTAACACAACTGAAAAAACAGAGAAGATGGAGCTGTAACAAGTCTTAGGATCAGTAATGTTAGACGAGGATGAGGAAGATCTGCAGAGGGCTCTGGCACTGTTGCCAAGAAACTGACATGGAAGATGAAGAAGTAGCTCTCCACAGGGCTATTCAGCTCAGTACGCAAAGCAGTTGCAGCAATGTATCCCAGGATATTCCATAGACATCAGGTACACATTTTATTTCAGAAAAGCCACCAAAGAGATAAGAAGCCTACAGTGAAAAGTAGCAGCTGTGGCAGCAGCAACAACAGCAACAGAATCTACCAGGACAGCTTTCACATCCTTGTAAAAGACCAACCACAAGTTCAGGAGCACGTGGCAGTAAACCAGGTGATACTGTGAGGGAAGAAGACATGCTTCAGGCAGCTACAAGCACATCTTTAGAAACTATTAGAAATAATTTCAAAATAGAAGGGAAAAAATAATAAATACCCTCTACAAATCAGTTAGTCATACTTTTCAATATTATGCTGTGTGATTACAGCATAAGTTCTGTTTTGTTGTAAAAGTGTCAAAGAGAACACTGTTCAACAGAGGAAATAAGAGTTCTAGGTGGTTTGCAAGCAAAAATATGAGCAACTGGAAAACTACATCAATTATAGCATTGAAGAGTGATCCTCCAAACACTAGCCAAAGAGGCATCCAGCAATCAAAGAAATTTGAAATAGCAAAAACCCAAAAAGTCTCAACATCGATACTCACTGCTAATGGGAACATGGGTTGAAAGGGTGTTCTCGCACAGTGCTGATAGAAATCTAATGTGTTGCAATTCTGAAAGAGGGGGAGGATTCTGTAAAAGCAGCTATTAAAATTAAAAGTCCGTATTCCCTTTCCTTCCAGAATGCAACTCATTGGACACTAACTATAGAAATGACAGCACTATGAAAAAATGTTCAACATCACTTGCAATCAGGGAAATGCAAATCAAAACTACCATGAGATACCATCTTACACCAGTGAGAATGGCACATATTAAAAAAACTAGCAACAACAAATGTTGGCGAGGTTGTGGAGAAAAAGGAACTCTTCTGCACTGTTGGTGGGAGTGCAAACTGATCCAACCACTATGGAGAGCAGTATGGAGATTTCTGGACCTACTAAACATAGAGCTTCCACAGGATCCAGCAATTCCACTCCTAGGTATTTACCCAAAGAACACAGAAACATCAATTCCAAAGAACACCTGCACCCCTATGTTTATAGCAGCACTGTTTACAATAGCTAAGCTTTGGAAACAGCCCAAATGCCCAAAAATAGATGACTGGATCAAGAAGATGTGGTACATATATACCATGGAATATTACTCAGCATTCAAAAAAGATAAACACATGCAATTTGCAGCAACATGGATGACGCTGGAAGGGATCATGCTCAGTGAAATAAGCCAAAAAGAAAAAGAAAAATACCGGATGGTCTCACTCATAAGAAAACTTAAATAAGGGACCAGGAAAATGAATAACTATAAGAAAGTGAAAATCAAAATCAACAAAAACTATGAACCAGAGACACTTTTTGGGGGGTGGGGGGGGAGGGGAGGGATTGGGGTCAGAATGGGGGGATTGCAATTGTATGGGGAATATAAAAATAAAATTTATTAATTAAAAAAAAAAAAAGAAATGACAGCACTATATGAAAGATTGTATATCCAAGCTCTGTGCTCAATCTTTAATGTAAATATGAATGTCCTAGGGAACTTAATAAAATGCAGATATGAACTCAGTAGATCAGGGCTACAACCTGAGATTGTCATATCTAAAAACCTCATACTCCAAGGTGATGCTGGTGTTTCTGACCCATGGACCCTGTCAAGGAATCAAGGATGTTCATTGTATCATTCTCCATTAAAAAATTATATTAAAAACCAGAAGCAATGAGTGAGCAGTCATCAATGGTCTCAATAAATTAAAAATATCCCTATGGTTCAGTATTATGCAGGTATTTAAAATAATGAAATAAATAGACACTCGTTGATTTGGAGGGAATTCCACCAGCAACATTTAGAAAAAGATAAAACTTGATCTCATTTTTGTACAATAGTTACAAAAATTCCATTTGTAAATGTGTGTATATGGAGATTCATAGCACCACAGGCAAAATGTGATTTTTTTTATGTTGTTAGTATTAATTAGTTTGGGGAAGAGAGGAAGGTAATGTTGGAAGGAGGAAGGAGATAAGTATTAAAAAAGGAATGAAAAATCAATAGTTTATACTAAAAATAGCATGCTTATTATCATATAAATGGAAACTACTGTATATATGTGAGCATATAAAGAAATTTAAAATGTTTAAGATAAAGAAGTTTTTTAAAAAATAAATAACAAACAAAAAGACCAAATTCTAGGTTCTTATCTTCCACTAATTAGCTTTTTTACTGTGATTGTTACTTATCCTGGCACAGTAAGAGCTGCCTTAAATATCTCTAATAATTGTTTTGATCCCAACTAGTTCTAAAATTTTAGAAGAAAGAGATGGAAACTGTAGGCAAAAGATCCAGCCTAAGTAGGGTCAGAGAGAGGGATGGAAAGATGAGAATTAGAGGTCATGAAATATGAAAAGGAGAAATATCTTCTGCTAAAAGGATCAGGAAGCAGAGCAGAAGGAAGTCGCTGCCAGGTAACACTCAGGTGTGAAATGTCAGTGTCTCTTTCTCCAACCACTGACAGTCCTCCACCAGAGAGCGGGCTCTGCACAAGGGAGAACAAAGTCACACACCTCAAAAGGTTAGTACTCGGAGTGGAAGATGGGATGGTGACAGAAAGTGTGGGAGATGGGGAAATAACTTCAAGGAAAATCTTTGTTCCTGAGAATTGAGACTGACCAGAAAAATTGAGTTTCCTTAAAAGTCTATAACTCTGTAAGCATTGTCATTGCTACATGTTTATTCACTATTTGCATTTTGTCTTCTATGAATAACCAGTTCATGTCTATTGTCTATTTTTCAAATAGACATTTTTTAAAAGTCATTTTAAGAAGTTCCTTGTACATTACAGATACAAACTCTTCTTTTGGAAATGGAGTGCAAATATATTTCCTCCTGACTAATCATTGGACTTTTTATTTTGTTTATGGTAACTTGTCAACAGAAGTTTTATTTTTATGGTGTCAAATGTTTTTAATTGAATTTTTCTGCGATTTCTGTCTTGCTGAAAAGTCTCTTTAATTTCAAGAAAACATAATAGGTAATGTCCTGGGTTATTTTCTAATAATATAATGAAGTTATAAAAATTTATTTTACACATTTAGATTTTTAATCCATTTGGAATTTAAGTTGTTATATTGCATAAAACAGGTAATGACCTGATTTTATTATCTGGGTTCAAACCCTAACTCTACCACATAATAGCTGTGTGGCTTTGGATCAGCTAATAAACTTCCCAGTAGTGTTGTTTTTTGTTTTTTTTTTTTAATGTTCAAATAAGGGTAATAATACTTTCTATCTCAAAGGGTTGTTATGAGGATTGAGTTAATGCATGAAAAATTCTTAGAACAGTGCCTGGCACCTAGTAAATACTCACTAAAGGCTAGTTAATAACTGGTCCAGTTGAAAAGTCCTGCCACATTTATTAAACAATTTTTTAATCAAAAATGCCCCTTTTAGCAATATAAAGTTAGCATATATCATTGGATTTGTTCCAGACTCTCTTGTGTTCTACAATCTACATATGAGTACTATATTGTTTTATTATCAACTTTAGGACAAATTTTAAAATCTGGTGGGGCAAGTCCCTTTCCCTAGTCTTGTTCAAAACTTTCTTGGTGATTTCTCATAGTATCCACATA